AACGACGTGCGCTGGGCGTGTGCGTCGTCGACTTGCTTGTTTTGATCACATGAACCTCAGGAATATACCGGTCGACCTGGCGAGGCTGGCGGGAAGAGTGTCGCGAGCTAGACGTGGGCGTATGGAGAATCACAACATGCTCTCCTTCACCATCTGCATAATCGTTGGGAACGTCGGTATCGTCCGCCAACGAAGTCGGTGGCGATACGAGCGTAGCTGTGGGCTTAGACGCAAGAGCAGAGTTGCCCTCGTTTGTCACCACAGTGTCGGACTGAAAGGCAGGCGGTGATGCGTATGAGGTCTGCCCGAGCTGGGCCTCCTTGTCCGTTGCCGCTTGTTGTGGAGAATCTTGATCCTCGGGAGGGAGATCGGCATATGGGTCATGGAGGTCCAGATCCTTAGAAGCATGACCGACATGATCTACATCCAGCATAGCGTGGTCTCGACCACCAAAATGAAGCGGCCGAGACACGGGAGAAGTACTTTCTTGCTTCATCCGTTTGCTGATACCGAAGCCGAGTCCTTCTTCATTGGGACGTGGCCGTTTCACAGAGGCCGCGGCTCGTGGCTTTGCTCGCTCTTGAGCTTTGATAGGATCAATTCTTCCATACTCATCATGGATACACCGGCGCTATGATCAGTTAGCATATGTATACCAAGAGATGCGAAACAGTATAACGAACCTTGCTCTTCCGACAGTCGTCACAGGCCTTGCTCCGGCCTTTCTTACCGGTGTTCTGCCCTTCGGGGCTGAGTTCATTAAGCCTGTTGGTCGATGCATGCGGGGTGCCCACGGTGATCAATGACGCTTCAAAGCGATCCATGTTCCTACAGACGCCATTGTCCTGAAGACCTGCTTCCGATGCAATGGCCGCCAATGAGTTCAGAGCAGACGCTGCATCATGCGCCGGCGAATGGACCCCGGTACTAAAAGCACCCATGGCCGTCTGTTTGGATGATAGGCTATCATTCTGTTCGTCCTTGTGATGGCAGCGGATTCTGCGTTTGCGACAAGCATCACATGCAACCCGTTTGGGACCGAGCCCCGAGCCCCGAGGTGCTGTTCGAGGCTTAGGCACGGTCTCCTCTTTAAGACCTGCATTGGCGCTGGAAAGGCTCGTTGGAATATGGGAATCCGTGATCGAAGGCACACGGGAGCTGCTCTTGTTGCTCGATTGAATCGGCAGGTCCTTAAGTGGCTCGGGGAGTCGCTGCACAGCCTGTCGCTCTGCATAAGTACGCTGGCTGTCCACGTTGCGCTCTGAGCGACGACTAGGTCTTCCAGCTGGCTTTTTCTCGACAAGGCTGAGTTTTGGGTTGCTCTCGATCACGCCGGGGCGGGTCCACTGAGGTGCTTTCTCGTTTCCACGCTTCCATGCGACCCATATCCCAAACTGCTTAACAACGTCGACTGGATCGCCTGGCGTCCTGGGTATTGATCGTTTGACTGCATTCCTAGCATCCATCGTTACTCCTTCCACAAGGTAGGACCCAGCGATCAAGGCGGTACGCAGAAGGTATTTTGCAAGGTCTGGCAGACCTTCCAACTCTGCTTGTGAATAGAAGCGTGAATTATGATAGGGAGAGCCTGGCGGGGCAGTGTTCGTCCTGTCTCCGAACTCATAGTATATGGGATAGTCTCGATGAAAGCGATAATTATCGTCCTGTGCAAATGCGTCGAGAACGCCCTGGGGAACCGGGTCTTCCTCGAGGTACTTCAACGCGGTATACCACTGAATTTTCTGGAAGAACGGGTACCGGAATTTCCTTGGTACCTTGGTGCCCTTCTCAATGTTTGCAATCTTGATCTGCATCCCGTAATTCAGCCTTGTCAGGAAATTGCCACCAATGACCAGACTATTCTCCGGAGTCCAGACAGCATGGATCCAGCCAGAGGGGATCAACATTGTGTCGCCTTCGACAAGGTCCACGCGGTAGCATTCCTTGGTTTGGTCACCGAGAAAGGTGGTATCCTGTGCGGGCGAATTGCACCATTCCTCATATTTCTTCAAATGCTTGTCCGTAGGCGGGATGAAGAAAAAAGTCTTCTTGCCTTTCAAAATATGATAGTAGACGGACGACCCGCCAAAGTCAATATGAAAGTCGGTGTAACAGTCAGCCACCGACATCAAGCAGTAAAACTGTACTTTTGGGTAGTCCCCCACTGCTTGGAGTTCTTGAGGCCAGACTGAATCTTGCAGGTCCAGATCACGAACCACCTTTGGTCGTCGGATGAGCCTGCCCAATGGACTCTGGGACACTTCTAAGCTGATGACATTTCGCACTACCTTGTCACCTGTGCTCTCATAGTAATCAGCCCATTTTTGCATGGTCCATCTCTTGTCCTCTCCTTGTTGAGATTTGACATCGATGACTTCGACCCTCTCTTCGGGTCCGTAGAGCTCGGCCACCTGTCTGACCGTCAAGCCTTGTGGTATCACCATGTCCAGTTGATCCTGGCCGCAGTCTACCACCTGCTCAAAGCTTTGCTCGCCCGCATCGAGATGGTCTAAGAGTTCATCGAACATCTCTTGCGTGGGCGCTTCCTGCGCTAGTGCATCCAAGTCCGAAGGAAGCGTTGGGGCCGGGTTTTGAGTATTCCACTCGGCAGGGATGACTATCGGTTCTGTCATACCACTTCCTCTCTCGAAGTACTCGGCCGTGATGAGCTCCGGGCGCATGCGGGGGAAATTCTCAGGGAGGAACCGAATCTTGCCTTGGCGAATAGGTTCAATGTAATGATGTTCTAGTGAATCTGTTGCAGCTTTGACAAGCCCTTGGTTCAGACCAGCATAGTCGATTGCGGTACGGGCGCGAGATGACTTGCGAACAAATGTCGTCCGTCCATGCAAGGGCCCACAGGCGCGGCAGATGAACTTATCCACAGTCCGCACCTCTCTATCATTTTTGAAACCAGCGCAGACGATATGAAACCAGCGCTTGCAGCCATCACAACTGATCCAAGTCACATCACCTTGTTCACCAGTGTCGGTTGGTATGCGGACGAGATTACAAGCAGCACAGCTGGCCTGACCGGACTCCTCCGACTCTGTGTCGTCTTCCGTCTTGGGAGGCAGGTCCGCCGGCATCGGTCCTGCATGTGGACCGCGCATAACATCGGCAGCCTGAACATTGGATTGTGTGCCGCTGGAAATGTGTTTGTTTGCTGAACCCCAGTGATCGTCCTCCGCACCCTCTTCATCCTGCCAGAGTATCGGGGGAAGAGTTGAAGAACTGGTGTTAGGCCGCAAGCCCTGTATTGTTGGTCGCGCAATGGCTGCTGATCCATCGGACTGTGACCTCATTCGAGATGGTGGGAGGGCGCTATTGCTTGAAAGAGTGTGGGTATGGTTTTCGGTGTGAGCGGCCCATGATCCCACCGCGGACCCAACCCTATCGAAACGCCGGGTTTCACTTCCGGCGTAAAGAGCGTGCTCATCTATGCTGACTCGTTTGGCGGGCTGAATGGTAGGCTGGAAGTTGGTGGGTCGGGCAAAGTTCAATAGAAGCTCTGCATCCGTCTTCATGCTATCAAGCACCGCGGAAGAATTTGCATCGGGCACGGGCAGCGACCGGTGGGAATGGAACGGCGATTGATCTTTTTCGGAGCGCGGTCGCTTGGCGGGACGTTCGGAGGATTCAATGGGTTCGGAAGGGAAAAGCGACAATGCGGGTGTCGAGTTTTGAGAAGGGGGACGGTAGGAGAGAGGTGCGAAGGTAGGGCTGGTGGCTAAAGCGATGGTCGCGAGAGCGTCGATGGTCGAACTCGATCTGCCATGACTCGGTCGATGAGCAGCGGAATGATCTGCAGCATGATAGCCGCTATGACTCGGGGGGTATTGGTCACGATCGGAGTCAGCCACCCTGGCGATGCTGCGGTCAATCCATGAGGCTCGGATGTCGGAGGTTGAGCAGGGTGAAATCGGCTCGACGGCGCGTCGCGGAGGTGAGGGAGTGCGGTAACGCGGTGGTCGAGTCCCGAGATGGGTCGAAAAGGATGTTGCACTGATCATAATGAGGCCTGAAGATGGAAAATCGAGCGGGAAAGGAGCGAGAAGAGGCCCGGAGGAGAGACGAGGTGCTTGCGGCAGACGGGTGCAAAGCGGGGGATATTTGACCACACGGGCTAAAGACGGGCCACCGCAGGCAAAGAGAAAGTCATTCCTGGCAGAATGGGAAGCGCACGAGGAACAATGAGATTGAGTATAGAAGTCCGAAAGGGAAGGGTTGGCGGAGGAGAGGTGGTAGGGGAGACGGAGGAGAGAGGAAGTGGACGGAGCAGAGTCGCACGGCGGAGGTTGAGGGGGGAAGTTGAGCGAGCCTCTGCCGACGGGCGGGAGAGAGAGAGCGCGCGCGCAAGAGCAGACGACGGAAGAGAGCTGCACTACAGTAGGGTGCGGAGCGGAGATAGAAAACGGCGAATTCAAGAAAAAGAAGATCAAGGAAATTTAGCGATTGAAAAGTTGCGCCTCAAGATAAGGCCAGAGAAGGAGGAGGAAAGAAGAGGGGTTTGACAAGGGACGATGGGCGGCGATGGGAGGCCGAGAGGAGAGGAGAGGGGAGGAGGAGAGGAGGAGGAGGAGGGAGTCGCCGGACGGAGGAGGACGACGAGGCGCCCGGCGCAGAGACACACAAGAGGGAGAGAAAGAGAGAGTCCTCGGCTGTATGCCTCAGGCAGCCGTACTGCCTAAAAAAGTATTGCTGTTGTTCTCCTTCGTGATAATCGTTTGCGGCACCAGCCCCTCCCCCCCCCCCCCCCATGCATGACTGCAGAGTACTCGAACACCATTCTAATTAATCATATCCTGATTCCGAAGCTAAACAAATATCTACTGCATCTTTCCAACAGTTACGAGAGCTATAGGAAGTTGAATCATCTTCACTTCTTGATCAAAGTGAGGCTCCTCCTCCGAGGCCACTAAACCGGATCAGGCAAGGCAGCCCAGTCTCCCGAACCTCGTGCTCGTCGCGGATATTGCTTCCCTCTCTCTTGCTCCTCTCTTGCCTTCTTCTCCTCTCCTCCTTCTCATATAACTTCCTCCAGACCCCCGTTGGGTATCTGACTCGACCTTGATCCCTTCTTTCACGTCTTTCTACAGCATCTACTGTCCCGCCCGAGAATGAGCCGAAAGCTCGCCCCCGAAGCCAATCGGTAGGTTCTGTTCGAACAATTCTACCCCTCCCCTTCCGGTAGCCCGCCATAGTCTCGCGCTGCGCTCTTGGGCTTCAGGATGCTTGGCCATGGGGTCTTATCTCTATCAGAGGGTTGGAAGTTGGATATGGTTGAAAGCATGACTAACGGGCCATCAGGATTCTCTTTGTCAAGAACCTCAAGTATGCCCTTCCTCGCACTCGGAATCTTTTGAACCCGCCTGTCGATCGTCGCATCGCCATTCAAACGGATACACTCAGCGACATATGATCTCGTCAATCATGACATGAATGCTAACAATTCGGGTTTTGTCCAGCTACAACGTAACAGCGGAGCAACTCTTCGACCTCTTTGGCAAATTCGGTCCCATCCGGTAGGCGTCTCCGTGACTCACGCGCCATCGTCCACATTATCGTCAACTCCGCAACTAACGCTGTCTCCGGTAGACAAATACGTCAGGGAATCGCAAACAACTCCAAGGGCACTGCCTTTGTGGTATACGAGGACGTTCACGACGCCAAACAGGCATGCGATAAGCTCAATGGATTCAATTTCCAGAACAGATATCTCGTTGGTATGTTATTTCCATGCGGGGGAGACTCTGAACGGCCATCGGATGAGGAGAATTGCGCGGCTGACCTTCGCTGCTCCGACTTCTAGTCCTGTACCATCAGCCTGAAAAAATGCTTAAATCGAAAGAGGACCTGGCGGAAAGGCAAGAGAATTTGGAACGTCTCAAACAGCAGCATGGTATAGAATGACGTGATGATATGCTTTTTTTATCGCTTTCTCCGCATGCCCTTTGCCGGCATCTGGTTGCGTATTCACATGGGTTGGTTGTGGGGTTTTCGGCGTTTATTGTTCTCCTCTGGGTTTGATGATGGCTCTTATTCATTCATGGGTCTGAAAGGGTTGCCGGCGGGTAGAATGAGACTCGGGCTTGGCTGAAGTCCGGAGTAGAAAGTGGTACAGAATGGGTTATTTCAGGGCTGGGATCGATTCCGATGCACCGGTTAGTCACTGCTATCAATATAATCATTTCGATCGCCGGCCACTTGCGGCTGTTGCGGCAAACCTATGGAATGCGGCGTGAAGGTTGTAGAAATAATACCACTGCACTGTATCTACTGGGGACGATTAGGGCCCAGGGCCCCAGAATGCTGACTTAGTCCATGTCTCCACGATCGCCCACCAGCTGCATCATACGTTGCCAGTGGATCAGCCCGGTGAAGATCATGTAGTTGTATGCCTGGTGGTCCCTGCTCCGATCCTCCCCTGAGCGGCCTGCGTAAGGCTAGCCAACTAGTGCGATAGCTTATCTTCTTGCCAGTTTCGCCTCAACTATAGCCACTCTTTACTTATAGGCAATGAAGTATCCACTTGCGAGTCGTTGGGTGCGGTGACTTAGTGCAATTATAGCTAAGGATTCCATATCGTTTTCTATACACACTGTAGTTACAGTCTGAAGCACTGGCTCGTGCCATACATATGTACAATAGGAGAGGAGCCCCGAAGATGGTGAATCATCAGACTCATCACAAATCATACATGTTCCAAGAGAAAGTGCCAAATCGATGCCAGCTCGGAGCCAGGAATTCTTTAAATACAAAAATGCAAGAGTACTCTCATGAGACCCCAAGCCCAAACTACTATGTACGTTAGTGAACTAACCTAACCTAGCGCTAAAGCGGTGGCTGCCGCCGAAGCTGCCTGAAACCTCAGACATCGAGATTTACCGCTTCGGTTCTAGACTCGTGCCGTCTGCCAGCCTGCCGGCCCCACCGCCGCGACCGCCCTCCAAAGATTTTCTTTTCCCCATGAAGATTGGAACCTCCAACCACCAACCTTCCCTTCACCACCTTCTCTCCAGCATCTCGACCTGCACCGCGGCAGTGATCCTTTGCGTGAGCCTGCTTCTTTTGACATCTCGACATCTTCCGTCCTTTCCAAATCTTCCCCATCTATCATCATGGCTGATACCTCTGCTGGTAAGAAAGAACCTGTCCCCATCCCCCCCCCCCGGGAAGCCATTATCGAAGAAAAAAAAATTCAGTTACTAACGAGAATCTCCTGTATTCAGCCTGGCCCTTGGCCGACGAGAGCCTGACTCAGAGCCTTCTGGACCTTGTCCAGCAGGCCTCCCACTACCGCCAGCTCAAGAAGGGAGCCAACGAGGGTAAGCATATTCTCTCTTTTCTTCTCCAACCGCGCCTACATCTTCTTTCCCTTCAACCTTTTTTTCAAACCTCGCCTAACCCCATTCCCCATCACCACAGCCACCAAGACCCTCAACCGCGGTACCGCCGAGCTGGTCATCCTCGCCGCCGACACCTCCCCCCTCGCCATCGTCATGCACATCCCCCTCCTGGCCGAGGACAAGAACTGCGTCTACGTCTTCGTCCCCAGCAAGCTCGCGCTCGGCCGTGCCTGCGGTGTCTCCCGCCCCGTCATCGCCGCCAGCATCACCACCAACGAGGCCAGTGACCTGATGGGCCAGATCCGCACCCTCAAGGACAAGGTCGAGAGACTCATGCTGTAAAACGAGCGGAAGTCTTCTCTGTCTCTCTCTCTCTGTGTGGGCTGGTGATAGGCCGGGTAAAATGATGAAAACATCGCCCATTCCAGCCGGGTCGTCCCAGCCGGGATGGATTTTCATGTCCCCCCCTTCGGTATGCGTGCAGGAGCTAGTAGCTGGCTTTGGGAGAGGGTGACTGGTTGAGGTGGGAGTTTCACTAGTGGATGGGGGACTGGATTTTGCTTTTGTTTGTCTTTCTCGGTGCTGTCATTCAAGACTACAGAGAATTTTCTTTTCTGTAACTCTGCTCGCTGAATACGTTTCGAGTGGAAACCCATGTACCCCTCCGCTTTTTGCTTGGGTTTAGACAGTTTATTGGCTTAAATGTCGAATCCCACGATGTTCGCTTGGCTTGTCAGAAGATGTGTTTGATTCTTCCTGCGTATGGAATTGTAGTATACTGTTCTGAAGCTGGATATCCAAACCGGTCGGTCTATCGACCAAACCATAGTTGCCAGTATAGGTCACAGTCGTGCTGTCACGCCAGCCAGCCGAGAAGGGCCTCGAGCTCACCAATTGAACACGAAAAACATCAGCTTGCTACGTATGCAGGGTGTATTTCTCACTATAATGCATTTGTATTGAAACGCCCCCCTCACTCACTCCTTCACTCTGGGAATCGTTCTCATTCCTGACTTTGCTCCCAGTCGAATGAGCTTCAATCCATATATAGATCACGGTAAGATGATGTACAGATACATGGTCTCCGTAAAGAGACAAAGAGAAGATTGCAGGGAAAATCCACAACAATGAGATACGTCCATCCACCACTCTATCGCGAACCCCGCCTTTAAACACAAGATAAGAGCAGGCTCCATGGGAATCATGCGGTGCATCAATATGTACCGATACAGAAAGGAACAAAGTCACAACCAGACAGCCTCCAAAAAATACAGCCGTCATGAAAATAACGTCACAAAAACAGATCAAGGCTCATTAAGGGTTACTTTTGGTGTCAATCCGGCCCGGGTATGGTACTGAGGAAAGCAGAAATATCAGACAAGCAATAAGCATCTCGCAGTATGCAGTATGGGCCATGACTCCGACAACCATTCAATCATCATGCACAAATCAGATGCACGGAAGAAACTGGTGGAGTGTTAGCACATATCCAGGAACAGATCGGAGGAGGCAAACTCACGTTCATCACAATCAGCATTGGGATGTCGAATACGTCGCGCTTCACTGTCCAGCAGTAGGCGCAGTCAACCTTGCCATCCTTGAACCCCAGCTGATTCATTCCCGCCTCGCTAGCGATCCCACCCTTACGCAGGTGGTTGTTCCATCGTTGGCTATCTTCCGATGCCAACTCCATATCCTCTTTCGTCTTGTACTTCAACAATTTGCATGTCCGCATCACACTGCCACGGGAGTCCCCAAACGCCAATCGCGCAAAATCCTCGTAGAATTGCACCACACTGTCATCGTCCAGCAATTCGGCAAGAAAAACGGGGTGCGGCCGCCCTGGGGTTTGATTCTCGCCCGCCGACCCGCGCGGAGTGAAACTGCGGGAGGAGGCCCCTGAGCTTGGAACTGATGTACCCCCCGTGTTCACATTTAGATTCGGCTCCTTGCCCAGAAGCACATCCTTCTTCCATCCGGTTAGAATACTGAATTCCTTGCCCACCGCGGCAATCTCACCCGTTCGACGGCAGACAATCGTAGGCGTTCCGCAAGCGTTGATAAAGTCTTCGTACTCCCAAAGGGTCCGCTGAAAGCACTTCTCCATGAAAATGAGATCGTCCCTATTTAACGTCTTTGTTGTCGCGATGAACGAGGGTCGAATCGATGCCAGCGCCTTGGCAATTTGTAAAGTCTTCTGGGGAGGAAATCGCCGTTGAATGAAAGCAGTGAGATTGTGGAAGCGACTAGTATATGCGTAAGGCTCCTTTACACTCTCGTAGATCGAGGATGGATTTCTTTGACGCCGGCGCACTCCCACATGTAGATTCTGGTGCTTCAGACTGGGTGTCGTGATGGCGGGTCGTTGATTGGTTGGAGCCAGGCCATTCGCCTTCTTGGCAACAGCGACGGTAAACGGAGACTCTTCGAAGCCGCTCGTCATCTGAGGACTAGTTGTTGCGCCAGGGCTGTTGAAATGGCCCGGGCCGCTTTCGATCGCAAACGCATGAGGCGCATCGGCTTTGGATAAGTGTCCGGGTATCACGTTCCCTTGACTGGACTGAGGGTAGACGCTGGGAACATTAACATGCGCCTGGCTTGGAGCCTGGCTGCTCGGCCATTCGTTTAGTAGCGGGTCACCGAACATGAACGGCTGCTGGTTGCCGGGACTTTCCCCGAACCCCGGCCCTCCGGTAATCGGAGTCGACGCAAACTGGGCAGATCCACTGCGACCCATAGACCCGCGCTGCGTGGCTGAATCGCTAGGCGAATCCCCAGCACCTGTCGCCATGTGTCCCAGCATACCAAATTCCAGCGCACCGTACCGGTTTTCGAAGTTCATGCTAGAAAGATCAAAGTTGAACAAGGCGGGGTCACTGGGATCGAAAAATGGACCGGCGAACGGGTTGGGGTTCTGGGTAGGCGGACCCGAGGCACTCGTGGTCGTTGGCTGTTGATTGACTGAGGACGGAAGGCTATTGTTTCGAATGGTAGGGGTGGCCTTGAGATTGTAGGACGGTGAGACGGGCGACTGCGATGGGAACGAGGCCTGGTTCATCGGGTTCTCTTGGTAGACATTGTAGGACGTAGATTGGGGAGTCGGGTAAAAATTGGCTCCAGAGTTCTGCGGTGCGGCCGTGTTGACGGCGTTGGCGCCGTTCCTTGACAACGGCAAACTGTTATTGCGCATGGGATTGTTGTAGAAGTTTCCCGCAATACCCGGCATCAGGGCCCCGTCGGGCGCATCATGGAGGTACTTCGCCTTTTTCCGGACCCCATCCTGACATGCATCCTGCAACCCACGCTTGATACACCGCTGACACGGCCTCTCATCACCTGTGCGCAAAAAGCTCGATTAGTTGCACGTCCTTAATCCAGGTACGCAATCGGCAGTCCGCGACGCGTCACTCAAGAAGCGCGAATTAGAGCGCCTGAGCAGGCAGATAGGAAGAAAAGCACGAGAAAGTCCAATGCAGGAGGGGAGGAGAAAAGGAAAGCTAAAGACAAGGTCAGTCATACCGCAAGTCAAATGCGCCCGCTGGCAAGCGAAACAAGCCCTGCGCGCCTTTTTCCTCCGCGGTCTCGACGGGTCCTTTGCATTGGCTGCCTTTTGCCCAAGGGTCACGACGCCTTTGTCCTTCTCATCACCGTTCGCCTCCGTCTTGGGGGTTTCCGAATGCTCATCGGCAGACCTGATGTCATGATTGGGTTCAGTCGGCTCTACCGATGGAGCTGGGGAGCTCTTCTCCTTGGCGTCCACGTCCATTTCGGCATGAATAGCCCGACGGAGCGGTGACTCGGTAAGTCGGTCTAGGGTGAGAGCCGAGTTGCGCACGTGCTGTTGCGTGTCGAAAGGAAGCTTTGCCGCCTCAAGGTTCGAACGCGAGCGATATAGCCGAGGATGTGTCAGAGGCTCAGCGCCACGGTGTTTCCCTTGGAGTACGATCTCTCGGGCGCCCTCCAGAGAATCGATCTGGAAAGAGCAGGTATGTGGTTGATTCGTGGTTTAGGCGCATGAAATCCAAGCACGGATGTCCAAGTGCGAGAACGGAACGAAGAGCGGAATCGGCCGCAGAACGGAGGGTTGTAGAGGACGGACGGGCGGAGGAGAGGAGAGCCGAAGGAAGCCTTGCGTGCGGGACCGAGGGTAAGATGACGAGGTGGTCTACAACTCGATAGAGAAGGGTCAAATGCGATGAGTATTGAGAAAGCTGTGTAGGACTAAAATCCCGGCAATATCTTCACAGTCACGCGAGCGACAATTCGAATGGAGGGGGGAAGGATCGTTAATGTCGTAATAGTGGTAAGGTAGTTGGAGTGGAGAGCGAAGACTGGGCTCAATTTGTCAAGGCTGCGGGGAAAATCCAAGAGCAGGCGCGCAGCCAGAGTCGGTCGGGGAGGAGTTATAAGGCACCGAACCCGGGGGGAGAGAGAAGGAGGGGAGAGAGGGGAGAGGGGATTTGCAACAGGAGGGGTAGAAGACTCAAGAGGAGGGGAGAGGAGAGCAGTCAGTAGAAGGATAAAACGCGGGGGTGAGAAAGTCAGAAAACAAGAAGAAGAGTTTGCGTTGAGTAGTTAGCGACAGAAATGAGGGAATTGACAGAAAAAAGAAACAAGGGAAAAAGCGACAGACACGAGGGCGTCAAGGATGCTGCGATCGATGGTTGGAGTTTCGGTACGGTTACCGTACCAGATTTACTCTTAGATACCAGACACTTTCTGCAATGCATGCATGCATGCAAGCAAGCAAGCAATCCACTGTCGCGTGTCGCGCAACTCTCACCATTCGTGTCCGTGGTAAGTCGAAGCAACTTGGATGAAAAGGATGTTGTTGCGGTCTGTTTCGAGGATCAAGCCCGAGTGGTTGCTCGTTCAAGAGATTGGGACTGTGAAAGCCATCAAGGGCCATGTGAAGATGTACTCCGTAGAGATGTCAAATTATGGAAATGGCTGTCGCATGTGACACCAAAGGAAGACATCATCACTCCCGAGTCTCCAACGAAACAAACTATATCTGATCTCCCGTGTTACACCGCCACTGTTCCACGATCGTTTGAAAAACACCATTCAGTAGTTGAAGGAGCTTGACATTCATATCATGGAGTTCAAGGATAGTATAAGGCACTAAGGGACCGATTGGACTACATGTAATCATCCTAGTTGCGCAATTGCCCAATTGAAGCAGATATTCCCTCACTGTTGGCCTAGAGAATTGTCCCTCGAAGTTACCGGTTAACTAACTACCGCCTGTACATTACGTACTGTACAATACAAAAGCCTTCTTAGTTGACTTGAGGTATAACTACCTTACTGCTTTAGTGTCAGAATTCTCCCACGTGTAAGCCTCTAACCTCCCAGGAACCGAGAAAATCAAACACAAAAATCCAAAAGCAAAGAAAAGCAAAACTGCACTGCAGCCCAGGAAAAGAAATGCCTCAAAGATGAACCGGCGCACCAATCATATTCTGGCTGTATTGGTCTGACCCCGAGTTTTCCCGTTGGGTTGGCCCTGGTTGCCCGATCCTGCCCGACATGACTGCTGCTCTCTGCTCTCTGCTCTCTGCTCTCAAGTCTCAGTCAAGTACTCCGTACACAATCGAGGTTGGCATGGGATGGAGTATGCCTCGGCTATATTTGAAATGATGTGATGTTTCTAGTCTGTTACAAAGGTAGGGAAGGGAGCAGAAGTTCGCAAAGAGGTGTGGCAAAGTATAGTTCTGACCATGTAAATATGGATGGATGGATAGTTGTCGGTGTTCACTAACAATTGGTCCGCTGGAACTAAAGAACGGTGTGACTCTAACCCGTCCAGCTAAGCCATAGAATCTCTATTTATTTCTAGAATTGTTTCGTGCCGGCTGTGATCTAACAGCTAGATCCGCCAAGGTCGCCCAGCGCCTCGGGTCGTCATCGGTCGTTTAAAAAAGCCCTACAATAGTAGTGCCCGCATTTGCTGTAGGCCACTTTTATTGTTCCATATACATCATCCAAGAACCCATTGGATCTTGTCTCGCATCGGCCAAATCTAGCCGGCAAAGTGCTTCCCGGTAAGACGATGTCTACATCTTCACAATCTTGGAAGATATAGTGGGGACGATCATGCAGCAAATCGGCTCTTCTTCCGAATGCGGTTGCCATAAAGATAGAATATGTACCTAATCAGAGGGAAAGAAGCATTGCAGTCAGCACTCATAGCCAGATTGACTCCCGGGATAGTTAGATTGCTGCCAGAGAGAAAGAGACGTGGATGTGCTTTCAGGCGTCAGATATGTCATGTTGCCGCCGCTGCAGATTTCTATGCAAGGGGGCATCGGCGGTCGCACAACGACATTGCAGAGATGGCATTGAAGGCAGACAAGACGACGCAGGCAACACACCATCAAACACGCAAAAGGAGTACTTACGGGAATGGTGCCATAACCAGGGTCAGAAAAGCAAGTAGCGATGTTGCCCAGTGATACCCCAGGTTGTTGTACACTGGAGTCATGCGTTAGCGGTCGGCGATTAGGATGCATTTCCTCCAAGGATGGCAGATCTCAGCGTGGAATCAAACACGCTTGAAAGTAGAAGACACCCAACAGGTTTGATCTCGCATGAATTTACCAATCTTAGGCTTTCCATTCGAGCTAATATCCGGGGAACTTACTTTGAATACCGAAAAGAGGGAAGACTCCGCCAAAGATAGAGCGCGCAAAGCTGTTCGCGGCCAGGGCACTGGCAGCATAGGTCGGATATGCGTCAACTAGAAAAGTGAAAATCCCCGAATATACGAGAATGGTCCTACGTGCGACGAATCAGAACTGATGAGAGGCGAAGAAGCTTCAAAAAAGACCATGTCTGAACGAGTGGCGCATGAAGATTGGTACAGACAGGAAGCTCAAACGATGCACAAACTTACCCTGCTCCAAAGAAGGCACTGCCGATGAGTGGTACGATCCAGTGCACATGGGGATAAATTGTCCAGGCGAATATGAACAGGCCGATGGTTACAAGGGGACCCCCGGCAATTGCTGCAACATCATTGCCATCAGAAGCTGATCACAAAGTTAAGTATGGCTAACATACCTGGTGGGAGCCGCCATTCCGGCTGGAAGTCATCCAACTGTCCAGTTGCCTTCTCGTGATTTTCCTCCAAGCGGACATAGTTCCGACGCCACAATGGGTCCGTGAAAATGGCAAGGAGCATACCGACGAAGAGGCCGAGGAAGCAGAGACCTCGCTGCCACAGCTCAAAGCCATAAACATTTTCGAAGACCAGCTGGAATGCACCAAAGAACAGATAGAGAATACCCAGCAGAATCGCCGAGAAGATACAAAGGTTCAAACACATTGGCTCCAGGGTCAGCAGGAGCAGGGGTCTGTAAGTAGACCGCAAGACTGTCTGTGCTACCGAACGTTGCAGTTTCTCAATCGGTGCCTGCCACCTCTCATCGCCTGTCTCTTTGCGCAATTTCCGGGCTTTGTGTCTGAGCAAACTGCATGACCGTTGTCAGGCGGCGGTCATGAACAGGATCAAGGTACAATACAGAAAAGGCCACTTACACGGGATGATACGTTTCCGGGACAGAGGAAACAATCAAAACCAACAGAACGCCTGTCCATATCAGGAGGACATAAAATGTCCAGCGCCTTGCAAGAAGATCAGCCGAGAAACGTTCATTGATGGAGCAGAAAGGAAGCTTACCAACTGGTAAATTGGTTGATGAACCCACCAACACTGGTGTTGTCAGCATGCCTTGCAACGTCATTTATGGTGACCAAATACCTACAGTGGACCCAGCTCGGGTCCTATGAAGGGAGAGCTGGTGTATAGCATCATTGGGGCGCTAAGCTCATGGCGGGCGAACAAGTCGCCTACAGTACCACCGGCGACACTCAAAAACGCACTGCCAGCAATGCCACCAAAGAAGCGACAGATAATCAATGTTTGGATATTTTGGGCTACAGCACAAGGTATGAGCCAGATCAAGAAGAATGAGAATGAGCAGATGTAGATATATCGTCGACCATAAAACTACCGAGGTGTCAGTCGATTTGTCTGCATATGCCCGTTGACAGTCCAGCTCCCAGAACAGGGAGCAGAGAGTTGCACAAACCTCGGACAAAGGAGCTAGGAATAGCGGCCCGACCGCTTCATGAGTTCGAGGTTAGCATTGCCAACATTTTGGAGGGGAGGCTCCTTCACACTAATCGTACTAACTTACCAAGGCCCCAGATGAAGAATGATAATCCCAGCGTTGCGACCAAACGAGAGCAGTTGAACTCCTCTATTAGCTGGCTGTAGGTGACAGTGTACATAGACGATGTGCAGGTCCTTCAGACAGAAGGCCATATCAGCATTGGTCAAATGAATGATCCGGCATGGGGACACTTACACGCAAAGCGAGCCAAGAGAGCAGATAATCACAATCAGCCATCTCCGCAAGGTGTTGAGATTGCGTGGGTTCATCGGGTCATGCTCGTCCCAGCCGACAATGAAAGCCTCAGGGTCATCGGCGGCTAGCCCTTCCTTTCGACTGGGGACCTTCCCGACCTCGTCATCGTCTGGCATGTTATAGCTATAGCCATCGGTCAGGGAGTAGCTACGCGAGTGCACTCGGCGCATCTGGCTCTCATGTGACGTGACGCGACCTGTGATGGGAGCGTAAGCCCCATCAACCTCAAACTCCGGATTCCTGGCAGTCGTATGGTTTCCAATATCTTGATGCGAACTCGCGGAGCTTCGGTCGAGATGTAGCTCGGACGTCTCTCGCGAGACCTCCTCTGTCTGCCCAGGTTCAGACATGGTGTCGGGCCGGACAAGATGAAGGACTGTATACGACCATGGAAACAATCAATCGCTGTGGTCTGTTGAATCTCGCGAGCATGTGTGCTCCTCGGCCTCTGTATGTTCTTGTTGCCGGGTGACCTTCGTCGAGCTGAATCCCAGTTGCTGCGGAATACGGAGTATATCTTCTGCAGAACCGGAAGCGATCTGCAGGCCAATTCGACGGGAACTGACAGCTATCGGAGAATTACTCCCGGGAAAGCTTGTGACGGCTTGGTCAATGTGATACGCATGGGCATAGGAGAAGAGCTGAAACCACAGTTGCAGAAGAACGAGGGGGACAAAACGATGGGGAGGGATTGACCGAGAGAAAGTCGGGGGAAATGGCAGCAGCTGGTCAGTGGTAAGAGACGGAATCCCCACTCCGACCAGGAAAGCGAGCTTGTTCCGCGGGGGTGCAATGAATTCTCCACTGGTGCTCAGTGACCTCAGCGTGCTCACACTGCACAGGCTCACAGTCACGGCTAATGGCTTACATATAGAGACTACTCATAGAAGAGGGCCCAGCCAAGAGCATTCATTAGCTTATCGCGCTGGTCGTTTGCAGGTTCGACGGTGTGTCTCGGTCATTAGTCTCGCCCCTCGGCCTTGAGCAAAGACCGAGCAGCAGCCTATCTATCGGTTGACTCCGAATCACTAACTACATGTGTACGTACAATACGTACGTACTCGAATGATACCCGAGTAGGTTAGTTGATACCAAAGATAATTGACTCAGAACCACGCGCTTTTCAGATATTGTCCCTTATGAAACAAGCCGACATCCGCTCTCTCGTGATAGATATCCAGAAGGACTTGACTTGCAGCGAGGACCAAACCACTACGTGAACCATTTGACCAAAATTCTTACGGAGATGGTTTCTATTACACTTGAAAGAAAACCTAGCTATCGCCCAAACACAGTCTTCGCCCCACAACCCGCAGAGCAAGATCCCGGCTCTTAAACACAATTGATTCAATAGCCGCCTTTTCAGTCCCAACCTGAAGGAAAGAGAATACCCCCAAAACGCCAATCAATTCCACAACAAAACAATCGCCGACACACAAAGTGAACAGTCCCAAGCGCATCACAGCCCCCAAATTCACACTCTCTTTCTCCCCCCCATCCACTCCTGCCCCACCAACTCATTCGAACTACAGTCAAAGATGTACATGAACACACAGGGAGAAAGTCATTGCACAATTTAGGCGGTAGCCGGCGTTACTTGCGAAGCCGCCTCTTCGCTGGCTCCCTCCTCGGCCCATGAGCCCCAAAGAGCCCGCTTGCCACGGATTTTGAGAGAGCCACCGACAGTGTCAGGGCGTTGTTCAACCTGAACCGCATCCTTGGTGGCAAGGACGAGGACCTCGAAGAACATCTTAGTCGCATCCGCCTTGGAGGCCTTCTTCTCGGGCAGGATTTCCTGGAACTTGACGCTCTTCTTCTGCGCCTCAGCCGATTCTCCGAGGCGTTCGCGAAGAATGTGGACAGCGTGCTTCGTGCCCAGAGAGACCGGTCCGCTATCTTGAACGATTGTATCTTCGGCTTCCTCCAGCGTGTGATCCATTCCTTCGTCTTCACTCAGGTGCAGAGCGTGGTTGTCTTCTTCGTCGCCTGGGAAATCGATGTCCGAGCGCTGGTGGAGTGTAGAGTCCATACCCACGCCCTCATCAATCGGCAAAATCGTGTCTTCTTCGCCGAGTTCCAAAGCCGGGGCGGTAGCCGCCTCCACGTCCATGTCTGCGATTCCACTGTCACGCTTGCGCTTCAACTCACCGGCCTTCTGAACCGTGTCGAAAGAAAGCAGGTCCCGAAGTTCAGGCGCCCAACCACGTCCCCGGTCACCGCCGAGCACACTCGACACAAAGTCACCGTTCTTTTGCATGTTCATTAAAGTCAAAAGCACAGGGTCCCGGGGTAGCCACGACGAAGGCTTCATGATGTGCGTGCAGTCCTTGGCCTGGTCTTTGACTTCATTCTGGGGGCGATCGGCCACCTCGTCCAGGCCCATGATAACAACCTTGCGCCGCTTCGCCCGTTGCTCGTGCTGGGCCATTGTCTCCTCCCCAGCTTCGTCATCTCTCTCTTCGTTCGCGGCGGCCTCCTCGTCCGAATCGAGAAGCCTGTTGACCCGTTCTTCCGACATATCGGTCAGGACGGTGCTTTCGCGCTCAAATCGCTCATCGACATCAGGGACGGCTTCTTCGGCGTCGCCAAGATCCATAGGGTCGTCCAATTGCATGAGGTTATCGTGAAAGCCGTCATCGCCAAGATCCATTTTGTCCAAGGGAGCGTCGTCTTCACCAAGATCGAGGTCCAGTTGCAAGTTGTCGACATCGTTGAATTTCCCACCATCGCTGAAAAGATCCTCTTCGACGGGGCGGGGGGCGGGGGCATCTCGACCAACTTCCATACTGAAATCGTGACCCAATGGCGTCTCATCTTCTCCCAGGTCCAGATCAACCAGCGTGTGGTCTTCGAGGCGCGCAGGTTCTTGCGAGGCCGAGCGCCGCAAACCAGTATCAGGCAGAAGTTGGCTTCCAAAATCCATAGATCCCGGTCGCTTGCCTTCAGGTTCCAAGTTGAGCGACTGCGGGATGAGAAGAGCAGAATCCAGGTTCATAAACAAATCAGATTCGGTGAGAACGTCAGGCAATGTGATACCACCGGGGGCGACGACCGTGGTTGTCAAGTCATTGTTGTTTGTTAGGCGGAAGGCCTAGACAGTTAAGTAGTTAGAAAACAAGGAAACGAATCGATAAACGTAGCGGCGAGGCGTACCATCTTGATTTTCATAAGAGCCTCGTTACAATCATCCAAGAGATAACGCGCTTTGCGGCTATAGATACGGACAACACCCAACAGCAGCTGACCACTGAGTCGCAATGCCATGGGCGCCTGTCCTTGGTCGACAATGGCGCTGACACTGCTTTCGATATCGGACTGCAGGATATGCGACTTCGAAAGCTTGCGTTCTAGGTTAGCGGACAGCCAGACGCGGGCTAGCGGCCCGGTCTTCGAAAGAAGCGTCTCCGAGTAGAACATATTGGCGCTGAGATAAGAGAGATCAAGCCAAGTTTAATCGTAAGATGAAGCCAACGATAGAAGGACCCTTCCAAAAAGAAACCCGCCCGGTGCCGGGGGGGGGGGGGGGTGTGGTGATAAGTTCCCTGGCAACCAACGTACGATGACGCGCCGGGAGTCAAAAACAACAGGATCAGCGAGTGGTGCTCGCCCCCTACGGCGTTTGAGGAGGTGCGACCACACTAACCCGACTGATTTGAATCAGGTAGTAATGGGTAAAATGTGATTGAATAGTAGTCGCGTCAGTTGCGACCTCAGCGTAAACCCTACAACAAATAGGTTGGAGGGGAAACGAGATGGGAAGGGGTGGTTGAGTTGGATTGAGAAAAGCAGGCGGTTGGGGGGGGGAGTGAGTGGGAAGATGAAAGGTGGTGGTGGTGTGGTGGGTGTGGAAATGGGATGAGAGGAAACAAGAGGGAGCGCGTCTCAATGACTGGTGGTTTCCAAGGCGGAAAGGACTGACTGACTATTACGGTACTACAACATTAAAGCTACGGTTTAACTGTTGCCCAGCCTCCCTCCCATGTCAGCTGATTGGCGGTAAGGCAAGATGGCTGGGGTCACGTGCTGTTGTTATCCAGCTTTTTGTTTCAACAGTTGTTATGTAAGCAGACACTCAAAGCAGGTGCACTGCGGCTCGCACTAGTCCTAGTGCGGCATTCACGGATCAACGCGTCATCCGGAAACGCTAGTCTGCATCGGGTAAAGCGAAAAGAAAGTCCCAAAGAGGCAGCAAAAGACTCGAGCATCTGTGGTTGAAGGTCCGATTCAATCCTCAATAATGATTCTATTTCACCTGCCTGCATAATAATACAGCGTTTGCGCGTTTCACTTGATTCCTGCTTATCGTGACTCTCCGATTGTGATTTCTTTAAACTCAAGGCACATACATACATACATACATACATACATACTCCTAGTCAGTTACTACGACTTACTGAGCACAGTACAGTACTCCCCCCGTACCAACCACGACTAATCAGTGGCCGCAAGCCGACCCTCCCCTCGCAGCAGCGGCAGCACGGCCCTGTCCTGTCCCTGTGTCCACTTGCTAGTGACCAGTGACCACTCCCCATCCTGGCTTAATCCCAACTGAACTATTATCGATGCAGTTACGGCCTGCTCGCGCCTACGAGTACTAGAACGTGGCTTTCTCGCCGTACCCGCCGTTTTGGAATTTTCCTGCGATCTGGAACATTCACCCTTTCTTCCCCTAAAAGCCACACCCCTCAAATCATACACTCCCTCAAGTTGAAGTTTGGTTCCCGACGGGATGGTAAGAGCTGGTGCTTGATCTTCTTGGGCCTTATTTTTCTTCCCTTTCTTTCGATAAAGCATGAGAGATGTCAAGGTCCGAAACGCCCTCGCTACCTCTTCATAATGCCCAGACCGATTTGAGGCCTCAATCGACGACACCGGCGGGTGTACGTTCTACTATCTCCCCCTCAGTAAGTGGACGAAAGTTTTGACTTCGACGGCCGTCGCATTCGCATTTCATGATCTGTCTGCAGCTTTTGATGTGGTTCATGGGCACGGCTAATCTCGAGCGCCACGCACTGGATAGACATCTACCTCTACGTACTCGCAGCTAAGCCCACAAGAAACCGCAGAGCGATTGCAGACCTCGCTCATTCATGGACTCACCCCGGCGGAGGCGGAGGTTCGCCTCGCACGCGATGGACCGAACGAACTACCTCATGAAGACCCGGAGCCTATCTGGCTTCGGTTTTTGAAGCAATTCCGTGAGACTCTGATTCTGCTCCTTCTGGCCTCCGCGGGAGTATCCTTCGTCATGGGTAATTACGACGATGCAATCAGCATTACCCTCGCCGTCACTATCGTCGTCAGCGTCGGCTTCGTCCAGGAATATCGGTCGGAAAAGTCCCTGGAAGCCCTAAACCGTCTCGTCCCTCATCATGCGCACCTGATTCGCGATATACCTTCGAACAGTCCTCCCATGGCAAATTCGGGCGCGGCAGCCACTGCGGAGATCGAACTGCAGGAGCTTCAAAGCAAGAGCCCGTCTATCTCCAATGCCGTCAAAGCGTCAACCACTGTTCCAGCAAACGAGTTGGTGCCTGGTGATTTGGTCCTGTTCACCGTCGGAGACCGCATCCCAGCCGACATTAGAATTACGGCAGCCACGGACTTGGCCATTGACGAATCCAATTTGACTGGCGAAAATGAGCCAGTGGTCAAATACTCCGACGCCATTCGCAGTTCAAAGTCCCTCCCGATCCAACCACCTCGGTCACCGTTTTATGATGCACCTGCCAGCGGCGCGGTTGGCGCAGATATTCGTTTAAATGAACAACACAACATCGCTTTCATGGGAACTTTGGTACGCTCCGGATATGGACAGGGGGTTGTCATCGGAACTGGTGCGCAGACCGAGTTTGGTAGCATTTCCATGTCGCTACAGGAAATTGAAAGCCCACGGACTCCGCTACAGCTATCAATGGATCGGCTCGGCCAAGAGCTGAGCTACATCTCCTTTGGGGTCATCGCACTGATTGTTGTGATCGGTTTGATCCAGGGTCGGAAGCTGCTCGAGATGTTCACTATTGGTGTTTCGCTCGCAGTTGCTGCGATTCCAGAAGGGCTTCCGATTATTGTAACGGTGACTTTGGCTCTGGGGGTTTTGCGCATGGCCAAGAGAGGAGCCATCATGCGAAGGCTACCCAGTGTCGAAACCTTGGGATCGGTCAATGTTGTGTGCAGCGATAAGACCGGCACCCTGACTCTCAACCACATGACTGTAACTAAATTGTGGCACTTCGATTGCCCCGAGCCATTTGAGGTTCACAGCGACATCACGTCGCTGACTCCAGGGCCCGCAGCTCGGACCGTGCTTCGTATTGGTAACATCGCCAATAATGCCAGATTGTCTCGTGTACATGCGAATTCTCCGGCTAGCGCATCCTCTGCTGCCGTGCTGTCCTCAACTGATGATAGGGCTTCGGGGAGCGTTCGGAGCAGATGGGTTGGGCAGCCGACAGATGTTGCGATCCTCGACCTACTGGATATCTTTGGCGAGGACGATGTACGCGATCGAATTAGCGCTCGTGTTGCAGAGACTCCGTTCAGTTCCGAGCGCAAATGGATGGGTGTCATTATCGGTAGCGGCACACCTAGCGAATCATCTTCACTAGCCGCTCCAGGAGGCACTAATATGGCCTACATCAAGGGCGCACTTGAGCAGGTCTTGGCGCGTTGCGATACCTACCTGACCAAGGACGGGCGGGAGGTGATCCTGGATGAACCTCGACGACAAATCGTGCGACAGGCGGCTGAACAGATGGCATCAGAAGGGTTGAGAGTCCTTGGTTTTGCTAGTGGTGTATCGAGAGACGGCAAAGGAAGAACCCTTGGCAGCCGATCGGGTACGCCTGCATCACGCACCAGTCAAAGCGATGACGATGAGCGATATACCGGGCTTGTTTTTGCTGGGCTGGTGGGAATGAATGATCCCCCCCGCAAGGATGTGCACAAGTCTATCCGGCGGTTGATGGCCGGGGGCGTGCGGATCATCATGATCACTGGAGATGCCGAGACTACTGCAGTTGCTATCGCTAAGAAACTAGGAATGCCCGTTAATCATACCCCTGGGTCCCGGCCCGTCATCAGCGGTGAGGAAATCGAGCGGATGAGCACTACCGAACTCTCCCAGGCAATTGCTTCGACTTCGATCTTCGCCCGTACGAGTCCAGACCACAAGATGAAACTGGTTCGCGCCTTGCAAGCTCGCGGGGATGTGGTAGCCATGACTGGGGACGGTGTCAATGATGCACCAGCCCTGAAAAAGGCGGACATTGGGATTTCTATGGGCAAGTTAGGAACCGACGTCGCCAAGGAGGCGGCGGATATGATCTTGACAGACGACGACTTCTCGACCATTCTGCGGGCCATCGAGCAAGGCAAAGGCATTTTCTACAATATCCAGAATTTCATCACCTTCCAGCTCAGCACCAGCGTGGCTGCCCTCAGTCTTGTTTTGCTGAGCACCACTCTGGGCTTCAAGAATCCATTGAACGCGATGCAGATCCTCTGGATTAGTGAGTAGTCCTGGCCTCATGTCATTCCTATGCCCTTGCTGATATATTTCACCTAGACATTCTTATGGACGGTCCCCCAGCACAATCTCTGGGCGTAGAGCCGGTTGATCCCTCCATCATGAACCGCCCTCCGCGCCCGAGGTCAGCTCGGGTCTTGACGAGGCCACTCATTCAGAGGGTTCTGACCTCGGCCATGGTGATTATGCTCGGCACCTTAGCCATCTACGTGTACGAGATGGGTGATGTGGATGATGTCGGTCATCCCGGCAAGCGCGCGCGCGTGGTCACGGCTCACGATACGACGATGACGTTCACCTGCTTTGTTCTTTTTGATATGTTTAACGCTCTGACCTGTCGCAGCGAGGGCAAGTCGGTCCTGCGGGGCGAGATCTCGCTGTTCAGCAACAAGATGTTCAATTACGCCGTGCTGGGCTCCTTGGCTGGGCAGGCATGTGTCATCTACCTGCCATTCTTGCAGCGGGTGTTCCAGACGGAGGCGTTGAACCTGGCACACCTTTTCAAGCTGGTGTGCATCTCCAGCAGTGTATTCTGGGTAGATGAGGCGCGGAAGTATTATCTGGCGCTGCAGCGGCGGAGGGCCGTTGGGGTGGGGTATAGCTCCAATGTCTGATAGATGCATGGGTATGAGTGGGTGGGCTGGGTTCAAGTTTCTGGGTTAATAATGCCATCATGGCTCAAATGTGTATAGAACAATGGACGGTTCTTGTGTATTTTACTTAATAATGGTGAATACAACAACAACGCAGCTTGGAGATACGAATCTGTGTGTAATGCCATGCCCCGCCGGTCTTGACAGCAGTGTAGACTGCATGACTATCTGGGTAAGGAACCCCTTGGTTAGCGGACCAGGCCATGGTTTGCAGGCGTTAGGGTTAGGGGTACTCGCAGGCGATGTAGGATAGGAGAACTTGTACACTTGGTCGGGTCATGGCGACATTGATAAAAGAAAACGGTGCCACTGGCCTGCACTCCTCACACTTTTTGTCCGGTCTTGCTTCGGGTCTATCCTGTCTACCTACCAGTGTGCAAACTTGGTGTGAGCAGCAGGCCCGCGTATCCCAGAGCTGAGAAGATACCGTTAAAAACAGATGACCTACGCAGGGCTCGAACCTGCAATCTCTTGATTCGTAGTCAAGCGCCTTACCATTGGGCCAGCAGGCCTTGCTGATGACGAGATGTTTTTTTTGATGCTCTATAGAGCTGATCTTAGGCTTGTGGTTGTCTTTCGCACTTCGTTGCGACTATGCAATGTATAACTTCTCTAACTTGTGATATCTTTGGCCTTGTTGTTGTCGGTGAGGTTTAGTGTCTCTTGGATGCTCTCTTCTCCGCGCTCGGAACTTGCTGGGGCTGATGGCAAGTTGCGGGGGTTCGTTCATCGCCTGAGTCGGTATATATTCTAGGTGGGTGGTCCCCTGTCTTCCAGAGGTACCAGGGCAGGCCTACGAATATCGAGACTGCACGCTTTGATGATCACACTATCCCCGCGCAAGGGGTGTAATCCAATGCGACGACAAGACAGGCCACGTGTGTACACTCGACGGAGGCAAGCAATGGGAGGAGAATATGCAACAAGCACGGCGCCCCTGGCGCAACACCAAGCGCTATAACCACATAATAGAGTCCTGAGACACATGATACAAATGACCACGGCCATTACGGATGGCTGATCAGATGCCACATGTATACATACAACTGGAGACTGTAGTGCCGTGCGATTAAGCACCCTCAGCCCTGAAAGGTACGGTGCATGCTAGGCTGAAAATTGGCCCTGGTCTGGTCCCAGAGGGGCCTGTCGCGCTTCCCTTGATCGGCCCCAGGTCAATTTCTACTATGCATGCCCTCTTCGCCCCGGGGGAGACTTGCATCTTCTGGAGATGAAGTAGCTAAGGGAAGCATGAGTGAGCACTGGAAGATACAGCAAAGACACCGAAGAATACACACATCCAGCCCGCCAATGAGCCACAGTCATCACGACTACAAAATATTTGCCACAATATCTATGATCCCCGTCTCGGTTATCAGCTCGAGATGCGAGAGGGTCCCACGTTCGTCGGGCCCACAAAAATCTTCTCACCTCCTACTCGTACCAGTCCCAGCACCAATTTTTATCCCCAATCAGTTTTTTTTGGGGGTCACTTCTGCCTCTTGTTTCATTCGTGAACACACTAGCCCAACCGATCCTTCAAGATCATGTCTCAACCCACACTTTTCGCATCCCTTCAAACATGGAGACCCGAGCCTGCATCTCGGTGCCCGGGGAAATCCACCAAGATAGGGTTGCGTGGAGACCTGGGGCCGGCTCCGCAAGTACGTAAGCACATAATCCGGCGTAGATTACATCATCACAGCCCGGATGGTCTAGTGGTATGATTCTCGCTGTAAGTTCACACTTTACAACATACCACAAGCAAAAAGACATCTCTAACTTTCCTAGTCGGGTAATAGCTCGAAATGCGAGAGGTCCCGCGTTCGAATCGCGGTTCGGGCCCTGATAACTTTTTTTTTTCAATCTTTGCTGTTGACTTGACGAGCTAGCTAGCTAGCTAGCTATTGGGGGCAGGCTCATGGGCCATGGTGGTTCCTCATTTTCCCGATGCCCGCTCGGGATGGCTCGGAACCCTCTCCGCGGGTTGCGCGCCTCGTTGCTTTCGCAGTCGCCGCCGCCGCCGCCGCCGGCCTGCCGAGTGTTTCGGAGACCTCCGGTATAGGCGGATCCTTTTTTCAAACTATCGTGATTCCACTCCGTGGACCGGTTTCGAAGCTATATACCTACACAGTAGATGTAGACTGTCCATGCGGTCGGCTGGAACCAGCTTTACTCTTATGTTGGTAGGTATAATGGATGCACATTGATGACTGATATGCAGGTGCAAGCATCATTGCCTTGTCCGCGGCAAACTCATGTAACTACCGGGAGAGGCCTAGATTGGGAGGAGGGGGGAGGGGCTTCGATCCAGTGCCCACAGTACGCAGTACATTGGACCTGGACAGAGGAGCAAAAAGGTGGGCAGGTGGGGTCAAGATGGACTCCATCCCTCCGCCCCCAGGCTTTTACTACTCTGTCTTCTGCAGCAGTGCAGTCAGCCCGGACCCAAGCTCTGGGTAAGTTAACCTAGTCTATGACTGCAGGGGTTGGTGGAAGAGCCGATTTGAGTCCCGATGGCCCAGGCACAATAGCCCTGGAAAAGGCCTGCCGATATTCGGATATAGGCCTATGAGTAAGTATGTACTCCGTTAGTAGTTCAATCTACGTCTGGTTGCCCCAGTGAACTACTGGATGGAGGCTAGTTCATATGTCTGTCAACTTAATTTCAGATTCAGAGGCCTAAGAATATACCCCCTCCGCTTGGTAACTCACCCCCATGCTCCTGTCTGTTTTTCCCTAGAGAGGGGTTATGTCAGTGTCAGGCCGTGCCCGATTGACCATGGACTATAGCATATTGGCGCTCAAGGGCGTAACTTATAGGTAGTTAGACCTTAACTACCGGTACGGATAGACAAGCTGACTGTATACTGCCAAGACCTCCAGCCTGCGGGTGATTTAGGGTAGTCCATCCTTCGCAGAGAAAGGTCGACCCACAAACAGAGGGGCTTCGATTGGCCAAGCTTCTTGTTATCAGCACGATGGAGCCGCTTGACGCTTGGGCTAGACTGTTTCCGGCGGTAGCGGAGCCCCAGCCCGGCTTGGGTGGCGTGCAGCACCTTATCGTTCCCTCCCAGCCAATCGTTCCCAAGCAATGATGAGCTCAGAGAAACCAACCTTGATAAGACCGTATCTTTATCTTTCAGGTTCCAGATTCAAGGTTCCCTTTCCCTCCGTCCAGGTTGGGTTCCACGGAACAGGCTGAGTGGATTCCTCCAGACAGAATGGAAGGAGGCAGACAGGCAGGCGAGACTGAAACTGTGAAACTTCCAACCTGGGACACCCTGGGATCGACACTCCTCCGCAAGAGAGTTTCGTATCCTTCGTAATAGTGATAGTCCATTCCAAGAGACAGGGGCGAGGAGTACGCAACTATGAAATTGTTTCTTGTTTCTGGTCCGAGAGTACAGTACAGGGACGACTGCTTGGACCGGAACCTATATCATTCATAGGGGACATCGTGCCGGAGCGCCAAGTCTCAAAAATGCGATGCCTGGAAAACCAGCAGTAAGCGACCTCTGCTTACAGCCAGTAGTAAAGTAGACATTCAGATGCAATCTTATGCCTCAAGCCGACCACTGTCCGTTCTGTTATCGTCGGGAAAGGAGCGATAGGGAAAGCGAGGTCGACAGGATGGATGATACGTAGCTATCTCCCTACCGTAGCTGCCCGGAGGTCCGTAGGCATAAATACATGTTCATCGAGCCCTGTTGTCCCTTTGCATGTCGGGGGATATTTTTCTTTTCTCGCCAGACCAGCCGTACCACATTGTCAATGCTGATGGAGAGGCGGACGGTGATGGAGGGCCGGTCCATACATGCACCAGGCTGAATGTGACAGTACTGACAGTACATACCCCCAGTGCAGTATATCCCCCACGACCAACAGCTCTCAAGCCACTTGCTTCAGTGACCCCTCGACTGTCCTGATGCATCGGAGGGTCAGGTCTGGGCAGTACTTCTTGTCCGCCAATGATGAGGCCAATGGAAGCGAGCGGGATGATTTCTCGTAACCTTGATTGTGATAACCAAGATTGAGGGCAGTTGATGCAGTTGATGCTGATGACGGCCATCCGCGGCTGACAGGGTAGAGTGATCAGCTTATTTGTTGACCCCAGGATTCCTCCGCTGTCCGCTGTCGCGCGACAGTCAGGAAGCATTCACTGTGCTTCTGATATATGCCTACATAGGATATACTATGTAGAGAGCTGATTTGAATCAGTAGTATGGGCAGGCGGTGCCACCGACTAAACCGCATTCTGTAGGCGCATACCGAGCCTTGCCTGGTTTCGGGGTGGTCTGCCCCGTCTCTTCCCGGCTTTTGCCACGAGGGAATATTCGATATGGCAGATAAAGCTGAGGAGAGCCATTGACATGGAACAGTCGATGAAAAATGACGAGAGAAGGCAAATGAGAAGTGTTAATGACTGACGAATGAAAGCATTCTAGATTGACGGCTTCTCATCATCAATCAGTACATAACTGTACAGTTGATGTATGTGCACCGCACAGTACTGAGTATCCTTGAAGAAAGTTGCCGTGGAAGGGAAAGTTGCAACTCGCAAGGGTTCGCCGTTCGGTCGAGGATCGTCGGGCCCGAGTTTATTTTATCCCATTTGATTTTTCAACTCTTTCACTCCCTTCGTTATCGCACGCCCTCTGATTGAGCAGACCACCTTTCTTTTTTTTTTTTTTTTTTTTTTTTTTCTTTTTCAATTTTCAATTTCAATTTTCCCAATTTATTATCATTATTATTGTTATTTTTTTGGAGTTTCTTTTCCCGATGGTCTTTTTATTTTCCCCGTCCAGTCCATCATCGTGAGCTTCTTTTCCATTTCATCATCATCCTCCTCCTCTTCCTCCTCTTCCTCGTTTTCATTCTCATCTTCATTCTCACTTTCCCTCCATCAAAGTTGCCTGGAAGCCTTCCAGCTGCTTATCTCTCGCTTTTCGACGCAGTTCCAGCCAGACAGGGCCGATCGGTTTCATCTGGGCCTGGGAGCAGAGCAATTCTTCGGTTCACCGTGAAAAAAACAGCTCCACCTTGCCCTTCCGGTGCCCAACGGGGGGGATCGGGATCCATTCTTGCTTCAATTCAGAATTCAGAACAGAACAGAAGAGTTCAGGGAGTCTTTCCCACTCTATATCTACCACTCTACCACTCTACCACTCAATCCACTCAATCCTCAAGCGTCCTGTGGTTTAATTCGACCCACTCAGGTGTCTTTCCAGAAAACTCGTTGCCAGTCAATTACATTTCGTATTTATATCTTTCCCACGCCTCCGCCCCGTGGCGGTTTCTCCTTCTCCACATCCGACGGCGGAGTTCTTCTACTACGCATACTAGACTCCTCCTACCCTCGACTTACTTCATTCATCCTCTTCGCCTCTCCAATTCCTCTTTTCCTCCCTCCGTACCATCTCTCCCCCTTCGCTGACGTTGACTCCGTTAATTATTCCGATCTCGGGTTGACTACGCCCTCAATCCCGACTCCTCCCTTCCTACCTTCCAAACTCTCTTTCGTCACGCTTTTCCTACTCACCCTCTCCTCGGTGCTTGACTTCTCTCCAGCTCCCCCCTCTATCACTTTATACCCTCGGTCAAGACAGAAGGAAGAACATCTGGTATCGCTCGAGAAATTGCCACTGGTTCATCCCGTCACTATACCCCTCCGCCATCCGCCAGTTCTCAGCGTGAGGACAACTTGGGCGGTGGTGACTCAATTTGCTCTCAACCATATCACCTCAATTGTGTGCATCTAAATCTACACTATCCGCCAATTGAACCGCCACGATGTCGGGCAACGTCGGCGTCTACATCCCCAAATATGCGTCTTACAACTGGACGGGCGCACCCTCCGATTACGAAGCCCTTGCTACCAATGAACTGGGAGGCGATTCTCGTATGTGATCCTGTGCGGGCTAGACGGCCTCCCGTTGCCCCTCACACCAATGCTTACCCCGGTCATAGGAACGGAGAACCTGAACAAATGGTTTCAATCCGGAGACCAGGCCTTCATCATCGTGTCCGCTGCTATGGTCATGGTCATGATTCCCGGTCTAGCTTTCCTATACTCTGGTCTTGCCCGTCGAAAGTCGGCTCTCAGCATGATTTGGGCCTGTATGGCTTCGTTCTCCGTCGTCACGTTTCAGTGGTACTTCTGGGGCTACTCCCTCGCCTTCTCACCCACCGCCACCAACGGATACATCGGCAACTTGCGCAACTTCGGTCTCATGAAGACGCTCGCCGACCCCAGCCCGGGATCTCCACTCATCCCAAATCTGCTCTATGCCTTCTATCAGGTACACTTCCCTACCATGCTCATGGATTTCGATTGGGAGACTGACCCTGTTCTTGGTATTTAGATGCAATTCTGTGGTGTAACGGCAGCTATCATTATGGGAGCCGTGGCCGAACGAGGTCGTATGCTACCAGCCATGGTGTTTGTTTTCATTTGGGCCACGATTGTCTACTGCCCATTGGCATGTTGGGCCTGGAATGTGAATGGGTGGGCGTACAAGTATGGTGTCTTGGATTATGCGGGTGGCGGCCCCGTTGAGATCGGATCCGGGTTGTCTGCTTTTGCCTACTCGATGGTCCTCGGTCGCCGTCAGGAACGGATGATGCTCAACTTCCGCCCGCACAACGTGTCGCTTATCCTGCTGGGTACAGTCTTCCTTTGGTTTGGATGGTTGGGATTCAACGGTGGCTCGGCTTTTGGCGCCAACTTGCGTGCCACCATGGCGTGCTGGAATACCAATCTGACTGGAGCGTTCGCGGCCATGACCTGGGTTTTGCTCGATTGGCGTCTTGCACGCAAGTGGTCCATGGTCGGCTGGTGTTCCGGCACTATCTCCGGCCTCGTCGCAGCTACTCCGGCCTCGGGTTATATCCCTCCCTGGGCCAGCGTGATTCTGGGTGTCGTCACAGGCATTGTTTGCAACTACTCCACTAAGGGTAAGTCCGATTATATCCTCACTGCCTAATAATGCTGATTCTAACAATCACAGTGAAATATTGGGTTGGAATCGATGACTCCATGGATGTGCTTGCTGAGCACGGAATTGCGGGTGTCGTCGGTTTGATTTTCAACGCCTTTTTCGCGGATGATGCGATTGTCGGGCTGGACGGAGTCAACACAGGATCCGGCTCGGGTGGCTGGGTGATTCACAACTGGAAGCAACTATACATTCAAATCGCTTATGTCGTCGCCACTTGCTCCTACGCTTTCGTCATGTCTGCCATCATTGCATACGCCATCAACGCCATTCCCGGTCTCAAGCTGCGCGCCTCGGAGGAAGCAGAACTTCTGGGTATGGACGACGATCAATTGGGTGAATTTGCCTACGATTACGTGGAAGTCCGCCGTGACTACTTGGCTTGGACCCCCCAGAAGCACGACCAGCTGGAGGATGGCCACGAGATCCCTGCTGCAGCGCGGTACGGTATCGGCGAGCACAGCGAAATGATGCTAGACGGACACGCCCCGGTTGGCGTGGACAGTCGTGGCTGTAGCGAAGGCGACTCGGGCATCCAGGAGATCAAGATGGCGCCGGCGCCGCGCCAAGTGGCCGAGCACCACCCGGCGCACGAGCCCGAGCCCATGGGCGAGCCGGTAGCGGCGATTCCCATGCAGGAAAAGATCGACGCCTGATGAGCATCTCGCATATTTATTATCTGTTTTTCTGTTCTATTATGATATCCAGCGTCGCCTTGCCCCCGAGCCAGTTTTTGCGGTTGCTTTCCATTTTCTGTGTATAATTTCCGGTGTGGGGATTACTCTTCGGATTATCTTGTTTTTTTTTTACCCCCCTAAACATGGCGTTATGTTGGGTCAGCACACCCGCGGGTTCTGTATACCTCTCTGCTGGGTGCTTTGTATATACTAGCTTCTTTAGCTGGCGGGAGGGGTCTCTTCAGTGTTCAGGATTGATACCAGCACAAGCATAGATTTGATTAATTTGACAAAACATATATAATTCGAACACGGCGCAATCATATAGATATGCGATTCAAGGTGGTTTCATTGGTAGGTGAATTCAGATTATCACCACACTCACTCGCCCACACTAGCTCAGTTGTCGTCCGGCCTGGCGAGAACAAAGCTCATGGATCATCATCTAGCTACCTAATTTGTCACATGCATGGCCAGCGGGGCTCCCAAGCACGTGGTTCCCATGGCAGAGCTGCAGAGCCGCAACCCACTGTACTATTCTATGTTTGAGGTACGTACATGGAAGCAAACAATCTGCTTTGATCGGCGGGCGTTGGTCGTTCCTCGCCCAATAGCCTTGACACGGCCACGATATACAGGATATATGTACTGTACATTCATTCGTACCCTCGAATCAGTTACATGCATACCCTTTGACGGGAAGCAAAATGGGGTGGACTGTTGCCTTCCCGCTGATGTACATTTAGCTAGTCTCTGTCTGACGACCCTACCTCTGACGCCGAAACGGAAATCCATGAAAGGGGCCTTAAGCTCGTCGCACCATGGCCCGAACCCTCATCCGCTCCTCCCGACTCAGCTTCTCGACGACCTCCGCCGTCTCCCCGCCGCGCATCACGTCTTCCCACTCGTCCTCGTCCATGCCCATCACCAGCACCATCTGCAGACACCGCACGAACGCGTCCCGGTGCCGATACCGGCCCTGCGAGCCGCCGACGTCCACCGCCGCGCCGACCACGCCGGAGACGTCGCGCTCGAGGCGCGTCGCGCCGAGCGCGTTGACCCGGCCGTGGTAGCTCCAGAGCCTCTTCTCCAGGAGGCGCGCCAGATACGCCACCGTGACGGTCAGGAGGCGGTCGAAGGCCGAGGCGGTGAGGATGCGGCTGATGGGGAGAAGCAGCTCGTTCCACGCGGTCGCGAAGCGCGGGCGCACCAGCTCCGCGCCCGGGTCGGCTTCCCCGTCGGCGGTCCCCGCGTCGGGGCCGCCGATAATCGGGTCGTCGGAGTCGTAATACTCGTTCATGCTGGGGATCACCGGCGTGTGGTAGACCGTGCGGACCGGGTCGGTGTCGTCCCGGGGCTGGTATTCGATGTCGCGGAAGGAATCCGACAGGATGGGCCGGAGGCGGTGTTTGATGACGTTGTTGAAGATAACTTGGATGCCGTCGTTGAGGAGGTCGGTGACCTTGGACTCGAAGGTGCTGGTGAGGGAGTGCAGGGTTTGGGATGCCAGTTGGGCTTCTGTGGGGCTGGGGAACAGCGCCTGGATCGGGTCGGTGCTGGTGGACGACGGTTCGGTTTGGCTGGCAATCTTCTGCTCCGTATGTTTGTGAAGGATGCGCCGGATGTAGTCGACTGCGACGTCGAGGTTGTTGATGAGCACGAGGAAGGAAATGGTGAGTGATTCCGGAGGCTGGGCGCCTTGGACTGCGGCGCGCGGATAGCATTCGTCACGCATCTTCCGCTGGGTCATGCCGATGAAGTCAGAGCCCAGGACGCGCGAAACCGTCGGGACGACGTTGGTGACGACGCTGATCTGCGACGTTGCGAGGGACTGTTGCAGGACTTTGTTGACAATGTACATGATGTCGTCTACGGCGGAGGTGATGTGTGGTGGGTCGGCCTTCAGCGGCTTATGCGGATTGAGAGTCAGGCCGGATGGTTGCTCGTCGAGCTGGAAGGCTTTCTCTACGGATCGACGGAAGAAGAAAGTCGTCATGGTGTTGAAAGGGGCGGCGAGACGTTCACTAATCTTTCTAGCAAGGGAGGATTCGCGAAGAAACTCGGGAAGGGCGAACTGGTTGGTGGACTCATTCTCCCCGGGAGGCTGGCATATTGTCAGTATCAGGTTAAAACTGGGGGAATTTCAGCAGGGCAAACTACATTACAGGTGTCTGCTAGGAAGCGGCAGTATAGAGACCAGCGTCCTAGCATAACGGCCATTTCGTTGAGGAGCCCGTCGATTTCCTTCATGTCGACGCCCTCATCCTCGGCAACTCCGTCGCGGGTGGCAGGCGAATTGGATCGAGGGGTGCCACCGCCGCGCTGGGGCGGCAAGAAGCTTTGCACGAGGAAAGTAAAGGCATAGGACTTGATATCGGTCAGCTTGCGATCTACATGACGCTCATCGCTCCAGGTGTCGAGGATGATGCCACCCTGAACATCAGCCTCAAGCTGGAGACGCTCGATGACGCGGTTCATCTTGCGAGGGCCATAATGGCGCTCGACTAGGCTGCCATGGCCGTCAATAATCTGGGCGATATGTTCGAACAGCTTGGTGAGTGCGCTGGCATAGAAGAAGCCGTCTTTGGCCTGGCCGCCGCTAGCATTAAGATTGGATCGAGCGCGAGCGGCGACACCCTGACAGACGTAGCGGCCGTAGACGTCGAGACCGACCTCGGAGCGGCCAATGAGGGGAAAGAGCTTGAAAAAGCGCGTGATACGGGCACCATTGTTCTCCTGGACGGCCTTGTCGAATTCGCGCAGGAAGAGGCCGCAAAGTGACTCGGCGGCGTTGTCGAGGGTGACATGGGGCGGGTCAGGCACCTCTGCGGTGGGCACCATCTCCGCCGCAAAGGCCCCATGGATCACCTCCGGGGGAATCTTGGCTGCGCGGTGCAGGTAGCTCGCCGCAGTCTCCCAATCCTGCGGGGCCCCCATCGAGCCAGCCACTCCCAGTACACATGCCTTTAGCTCAGCAACCTGATCCACCACAGCGAGGGTGGCCTTCACACGAGATTGTTCGTGATCTAGACGACGAACCGCGCTGGAAATGCGATCGGCGGTGGTGGCCGCATCGGCGAGCATGCCATGGCTGATGGCCCGCGTGGTACTAGTTTGTGAGCCCAGGTTCGCACGGAGCAAATCCAACCGTCCGAGTTCGCGCGAGAAGTCTCTCTGGGAAGCAACAAGAGCATCTAGGCGGGCAGTCACCGAAGCTTCCTGCTCATGTAGGTGAGACAGCGTGGCCTTGATCTCGGCGACGGAGCTGGCGTTGAAGACGGTAGTAACGGTGTTGGTTGGGCTGAGTCCGGCATCAGAGTGGCCATTGACCTTGCTAAAGGGAGGATTGGCCATGGTCAATAAGTAAAAGGAGCAGCTCTGGGCTGCGACAGCAGTCAATGTGTTCTCACAAAGGATGGAAAGGAAAGGAGGCCATCGAAGCCATTCCGAACAACATGGCCGTATTACGGAAGGCGGTCAGCGGGCGGGGGCTTGATGCCTCAGGTGTGTGGATTACCTTGATAAACTGTAGTAAACATGAGTCTGCACTGATAGTTCGGTGCGTTGGAAGAACGGAAAAGAATCAAAGCTTCTTATAGCTTCTTAGTACAAGCCTGACCCGTTGTCAAAAAAGTGACCCGGCTGGTGCGCGCAGCTGTTTATACTGAGTAGCATCTAGTTAGATGGTTGACACCTGAGGCGGAGACAAGCTTGATGATGAGCTTTTCTTTTTCCGGAAATTGACCGTTTTTCATCTCGACGTCATCTCGGAATTTCTTCCATTGCATTGCACGCCACTTTCGGCTACTTCTTTTCGTGTCTCGAGGGGATCACGCTCTTCTCCACGCGCCATCACTATCCTATTCAAGTACGGCCTTGAATTGGCCGTGTTGCTCGCATCATGGGCAACGAATCCTCCAGTGTGGTGGACGAGAAGGCTCCCCCGTCTGTGCTGGAGAAGCGCACCATCGAGGCAGTCGCCAAATATATCCTTGAGAAAGATGTGCGACGCATTGTGGTTATGGTAAGGGGCATCTCCGCACCCGAAATAGAGTCATCGCTGACGAGAGAAACCCGACCATCAGGTGGGTGCAGGCATCAGCACCTCGGCCGGCATTCCCGATTTTCGCTCCCCTGACACGGGCATTTATTCCAACCTGGCCTACCTAGATCTACCCGATCCCGAAGCCGTATTCGACATCAGTTTCTTCCGCGAGAACCCCAAGCCCTTCTACACCTTGGCCCGCGAGCTCGCCCCGGGCCGATACCGACCCACGATCGCACACTCATTCATCAAACTGCTCTACGACAAGGGGCGTCTACTCAAACATTTCTCGCAGAACATCGACTGCCTTGAACGTCTGGCAGGGGTGCCAGGGGAGATGATTGTTGAGGCCCACGGGAGCTTTGCAACCCAGCGGTGTATCGACTGCAAGGCGGACTACCCAGGGGACCAGATGAAGGCAGCCATCGCTAAGGGAGAGGTGCCTTACTGTCCCGAGTGCAACGGGCTTGTGAAGCCGGATATTGTTTTCTTTGGGGAAGCGCTACCGTCGGACTTCTTTGACAGCCGCGATTTGCCGGAAGAGGCCGATCTCTGCATTGTCATGGGCACCAGTCTGACGGTGCAGCCGTTTGCTAGTTTGCCCGGGTTCTGTCGCGATGGGACACCGCGGGTGCTGATCAACATGGAGCGGGTTGGAGGACTGGGGTCGCGCCCAGACGACGTCCTGGTACTGGGGGATTGCGATACCGGGGTGCGTCGATTCGCTCGCGCTTTGGGTTGGGAGGAGGAGTTGGAGGCGCTGTGGGAAGCCACCAAATTGCCGGAGGAATCCGGCGCACAGACGGTAGAGGATACACCGCCTCGGACGCGCGAAGAGCAGTTACAGGAGGAAGTCGAGCGTCTCACGGAAGAGGTCGATCGCACGCTGGGTATCTCGCAGGCCTACGAACAACGTGTCCGCCAACAATTAGGGGGCCCCGTCGCGGGGAAAGCGGATCGCGCAGATCGAACCGATCCGGCGAATAACAGCAGCAGCTCGCATGCGGGGGAGACAAGCACTCAAGGGCTGGCCCATGTCTTCCCTCATCTGACACGGGCCACAAAATAAGATGATAGATTGGAAAGTTTCTTAGCAAGAAGTTGTGGCTCATTGGCTCCTTTTTTTTTTCTTGATTTGGACGAAGACGGGAAGGGCATGAGAGGGAGAAAGATGGGTTTAGGTGGCTGGTCGACCATTCCGCCCGCATTGGGCGTGTCGACCGCGAAGGGGGGATTTGCTGATGAATTCTAATGACCTTGATGAGTAGACGATCGATAAAACAAAGACAGACCAAGACAAGAGTCATATTCGCATATAGTAATGATGAGACAGGAATCCAAATGCATTAGGCTTATGCCTGGTGGGAGTCAATTCCCAGCCCTAAAGCAATTCCCTTTCTCCCTCCTCCCTCCCCACCTCAACCATCTGAGCATTCTTGAACTCCGCAGAAGGAAGTGGGAACAGCCGGATCGAACCTCCATATAAAGACCGATCATGTTTCAAGGATTATATTTGAAGAAGACGATTGACTACTCCGTAGACAACATCGTATTTATTTTGACCCGCCGCGACCCAAGCCAGTCACCGGTGAGGAGAACCCGCGCCGAGTGGCCAGTTGCCCCCGATAATATTCCCCGCCAAACCCGACCTTTTGCGACCTTTTCCAACCTTTGCCCCACGTCGTCATCGCTGTCTTTCTTTCTTCTCGCTCTTCTTGTCTCACTCACTCTTGCTCCATCCTCTCTTTCTCTTTCTCCTCCCTCTTACACTCACTCCTCCTTCCCACCCATTATACATCCCAATAAACCTTCTTATTTGTTGCGATTTCTCTTATACCCCTCTAATCATCACGATTCACAATGGTTGGACTCGGTCCCAAGCGCCCCCCTTCCCGCAAGGGTATGCCTCCTTGCCCTTGATTCCCCCCTCGGGATGCCGATTTCCAATTGACCCGACCATAGGATCCATGGCCGATGTGCCCCAAAACCTCCTGCAGCATATCAAGGAGTTTGAGGACATGTTTACCGTTGACCGGGCCACACTCAAGAAGGTTGTCGACCACTTTGTGAAGGAATTGGAGAAGGGTACGTCATAGAGCTATTTCTTCCCCCTAAACAACAACACCACCACCACCACAACAACACAATCACAAAATTCGACACTTTCTATACCTACATTAATTCCCAGACAACTTCCACAGTTCCAATGATCCCTTGAAGCTGACTAGGTCTGAGTTGAGCGTGAACAGGTCTTAGTGTCGAGGGTGGTAACATTGTGAGTATGGCCTGACCGGGCAATGAGCTCCGTCATAGATAAGGATCGGATCGACTAACTGGCTGGCTTCGCCTCAGCCCATGAATGTCACCTGGGTCATGGGATTCCCCGATGGTGATGAACAGGGAACTTTCCTCGCCTTGGATATGGGTGGTACCAACCTGCGTGTGTGTGAAATCACCCTGACCAAGGAGAAGGGTGGCTTCGACATCACTCAGTCCAAGTACCGTATGCCCGAGGAGCTCAGAACCGGCACGGCTGAGGAGCTGTGGGAGTACATCGCCGACTGTCTGCAGCAGTTCATTGAATCTCACCACGAGGGCGAGGAGCTCTCTAAGCTCCCCTTGGGTTTCACCTTCTCTTATCCCGCCACCCAGGATTACATCGACCACGGTGTCCTGCAGCGCTGGACCAAGGGCTTTGATATCGATGGAGTGGAAGGCCACGACGTCGTTCCTCCTCTGGAGAAGATTCTCAAGGAGAAGGTGGGTCGCTTCCATGCGTATTTGGGGCTGAGGCGTGCTAATGTGATACTTTTGCGACCTACAGGGTCTGCCCATCAAGGTGGCTGCCTTGATCAACGATACTACCGGAACCCTCATCGCGTCCGCGTACACCGACCCTGCTATGAGGATTGGCTGCATTTTCGGCACTGGTGTTAACGCCGCCTACATGGAGAATGCGGGCTCTATCCCCAAGCTGAGCCACATGAACCTGCCCGCCGATATGCCCGTCGCCATCAACTGCGAGTATGGCGCATTCGACAACGAGCACATCGTGCTCCCCCTCACCAAGTATGATCACATCATCGACCGGGACTCTCCCCGTCCCGGCCAGCAGGCTTTCGAGAAGATGACCGCCGGTCTTTACTTGGGTGAGATCTTCCGTCTCGCCCTGGTTGACCTGCTGGAGACCCACCCGGGTCTCATCTTCAACGGCCAAAACACCTCGGAGCTGCGCAAGCCCTACCTCCTGGACTCGTCCTTCTTGGCCGCCATTGAGGAGGATCCCTATGAGAACCTCCAGGAGACGGAGGAGCTCCTGGAGCGCAAGCTCAAGATCAAGGCGACTCAGGCCGAGCTGGAGATGATCCGTCGCCTCGCGGAGCTTATCGGTACCCGTGCGGCTCGCCTGTCGGCCTGCGGTGTTGCTGCCATCTGCAAGAAGAAGAACATCGAGTCGTGCCACGTGGGTGCTGATGGCTCCGTGTTCACCAAGTACCCCCACTTCAAGGCCCGTGGTGCCCAGGCGCTGCGGGAAATCCTTGACTGGGCTCCCGAGGAGCAGGACAAGGTCTGCATCCAGGCCGCCGAGGATGGGTCTGGTGTAGGTGCCGCCCTCATTGCTGCCTTGACTCTTAAGCGCGTCAAGGCTGGCAATGTGGTGGGTATCCGCGATGCGAACGACATGAAGACTCTCCTATAAGCATGTGACGCAGGGTAAGAGGTAATCTTTTTGGGAATTTTCAGCGTGGTGTTTGAAAGCGGCTGTTTTTAGGGCGGGGTGAAGGATGGATGACTCCGGCGACATAGAACAGAAGAGAGAACAGTACAGTACATACATACATTGACGATGAATGGCCGACACTTGGGTTAAGACAGGTCGGTATACAGGATCACGCAAGTAATTGGAATTGTCGATAGACGGCAACAGAATCCATCCATTGAATTTGATGACTCCCATACATGCTAAGTAGAAACATATCTGCCTGCCATGGTTTGAGTGTGTCGATCGGGACTCATAGAGGGGGAATGTAGGATGATCCCTTTGCTGCCGCGGACGCGGAAGTGGCTGAAGAGAGGGAGGGGAGCATTCCGAACACGCGGTGGAATGTCCTGTTCTGAGATGTTGTGCGGAGCACAACAACATGAATTGAGCTTGTTTTTTGCCCCTTGTTCCTCCGATCACTCAAAAATCCTCCTGCCTCTCTGCCTCTCCCACCAGTTCGTACTCAAAGCAGAGGTTACTCAATCAATGGGCTAGACAAGTGGTGGGAGGGGTGATCCATACATCCAGACATCCCTCGCCCTACTTAAATTTCTTCAGGCCTCCTGAGTAACCCTGTATGCCCTTCAAGGTGCCCATCTCCTCTCCTTTGCCACATATGTAGGTTTGGTGTGAATCGAGTATCCCGGGTTAAGTGGAGATGAGGAAGATACCAAGGTAAACCCTCCCTCCCACCCACCCCTCGAATGTACCTCATCCTGGCCTGGGCTGGCATGTTACAGACCCTCCCCGTGAAACATAGCAAGCAATGAAGCCCTAAATAAATACAAGCTTCCTACTCCAATATCCCCCGTGCAACTTCCACGTTCCTTTGATTTTTGTCTAACTTGCTACTTCTAAAACTAGTCTAGTTCTTTTGTTTGTTTCCTTTATTCTCTCATTTCCCCAACTCACCATGAAAGTCTCCCTCGCCCTCCTCGCCACTGCGGCCCTGACAGCCATGGGGGCGCTTGCCCTCCCGCACGGCAACACCGAGATGGCCAACATGAACATGAGCACGATGGAGGACAGCCCCGACAGCGCCACGCAGACTTCGCCGCAGGACTCCTCGTCGTCACCGTCCTCCAAGCCCAGCAGCAGCAGCAGCACTCCCCAGCCGAGTAAGAAGGCCGGTACCCCGGATGTACGTTCCCTCCTCCCTCTCATTCCATCACCGCACCATCAAGTTCTTTACTAACGAGACCCTCAATATCCCGACAGGAAAACGACGAGGATTTTGTAAGGCGATTCCCTCCCATCCTCTGCTCCATCCTTTTCCCCTAAGAAGTTGCCAACACTTGAAGAACTTGCAATACCCCCTCATCACAACTTCCCAGCCACACCCTCCTCCGCATCCGTATAAACTGGCGCTAATCATGATCCTTATATTGATGGAAAAACCAGCTCACGGGTCTTTTGGGCAATGTAAGCCTCTATCCCGCTCTTCCCTTCCCTTTTCTTGTCTTCTGTTCGCTGGTGTGGAAAGATCGAAGCGCTGACGGGATCACTCGGTGCGTTGGTATCTATATAGCTCGGTCTGGGTGGTCTGGGTCTGGTAAGTTTTCCCCCAGACTCTCCTCGCTCCTTGGGTCCATTGTCGAACCACGCTGGAGTCAGCTGTTGGAGAAGATCATTGTACTGATTCTGGTCGTTCGTCTGCAGTTTTAGCTCGGTTAGAGCTTGTGAAGTTCGGGGTGAGAATGGGTTTACAGTCATTGGATTGTGGGGTGGTCAATGGAGGGGAGATGGGCCTCGGAGAGATGGAGAAAGGAAGCGCATTAGCGGCAATGGAAAGGGAAGAAGGGGATGGAGATGGGGGCTGGTTTCATTTTCCGTGGGAAATCTTCAGTATCTAATTCCAAACATTATATCCGAATCTATGAAATTACGCAGAAGTGACTCTTGGGTTTCACGGTGGCTTTGAAGTAAGCCTATAATGAAAAAGCCCGGCTGCTGCTTGATAGATGATACGAAAGCCCAGGTCAATGCAGGGGGTGCGATGCAATTACTTTTGTATGCCACATATCCAAATCATAAAACGCGTCTATATAATGCTATGGAGTAAATGCACGACCCCGCTCAGCCGCGAATTTCCCACAAACGGATCCGACCTTGCTCGTTACCCACTGCCAATTGCTCCGAGTTGGGCGAGATGGCCACGGCAGAGATACGGCCGAAGGGGGTGTTGGAGGTCGGCCAATTGCGGTAGACCGTGCAACTGGGGAGGTGGACTGGATCAAATGTTAGCAGGTGCATCATGTAGACATATGGGAAGCAAACATACCGATTCTCAAGGCATCGCGCTTCCAGCGACTCGCCATCACGAAGAACTGTCCATCCGGCGCAAAGACCAAGTGGCTGATGGGCGTGGTGAGCTGGTCCAGCACGCGCACAGGTTCGGGGTTCCGAGGAATGAAACTCTGGCTGGTCTCGTCCTCGTTTGAGGCAGCAGCAGTGGCATATGCGGCCGCCCATTCGCGACGGTCGTACACGTTGACAATGCCGCTGGAGCTGCCGATGGCGACCCAGCGGTCGCCACCAAGTTGAGTGCGTCCAGACCGTCCGCCCAGGCTGAGTACCGTCGTGCCCACGGCGCCGGCGTCGATCCAGCGGGCCACCACCCGGTTCACGCGGCCGTCCCATTCGGAGACCTCACCACTCTTGCTCACCACCGTCATACCCTCGCCGTCGCTCCACCAGGCGAAATCGGACACACCTCCCCGACCGTCCACACGGACCTGCGCGATCCACTGCGCCGTGTTGGAGTCGAGGATGTTGATGAGACCACCGCCCTTGCGGGCCGAACCCACCAGGCCCACAAATCGTCCGCAAGGGGACAGCTTGAGGCGCTCCATCGTCTTCTGCTCTTCCTTCCGGTCCGCGGTGCCGTTGACCTTGTCCACCTTGCCGGTTTCCAGATCCCAGATGTGGAAGTACCGCCGACGCCCAGATGCAAAAATGCGGTTTCCGCTGGGCAGATGGAATGCGGAGGTGTGAAGGGGCGTGTGGCGAATGTGGAAGGACGTGAGAAGAGGGTTTGGCGCCAGGGCGGAGGGCGAAATGTGATGCAGGAAGAGAGTGGCCGCCTGTCCGGAGGAGAGCAGTAGAGGGTAATGCGGGTGGAAGGAGAGTGAATCGATGGCCGACTGTCGCTCTTTGGTTAGTTCCCTGCACTAAAGCACAAACGAACAGGATCACACTCACCGGCTGGTCCTTGCCGACATCCTTGAGTCTCGCAATGTCAATGACCTCCTGGCGCATCTTTCTCTTGCCGCCAGGACCTGTGCTGTCCTCCAGTTTAACGAGATCTGTGGCACCCTGCAGCAATTTCGCGAGGGGTTGCGTGGACGAGCGCTCCTCATCATCCGTATCCATGTCATCGGCGTCAGAGTCGTCCTTCTGCTGGTTCTGCTCGGGGTTTGCCCAGTCGGGCATAGGGTTCAGCTGGACGAACTGTCTGCGCAACCGGCGAACATATTCCTTGCCGCTAATGACGTCTTCTGATTCCGCGACGCGCAGCTTGCGCAATCGCTGGTGGCTCGCCAGTGAGATTGTGAGACGCTCATCGTCGCTATCATGCCACAAAGCGGGCAAGCCATTGGCCTCCTCGTCGCTAGCCTCCTCATCGGACAGTGTCGCAGGCGCCTCGCCGATGTAGTCAGAAACAGGTCCGGGTCCGGAATCAAGGAAGAACAGCTGTGTCGAGTCAAAGTCTGTCAGCAAATGTCTTTTCGCGGAGAAACAAGATAATCATCGCATACATCAGAGTCGGCCAATTTACTCAGATCTTGCTCCTCATCGTCATTCTCCGAGTCATCATCATCCCCCATTTCCTCATCGCTTTGGTCAGCAAGTACCAGACCGCGCTCGTTCTGGGTTTTCAATGCGCCGAGAAATCCATCGTCGTCGCCGAAAAGCATCTGTTCCAGCTTGAGTTCGGCCTCATCCTTCTCGGGAACATCCGACTCATTATCACTCCCTTCACTGCTGGTTATGTCGTCGTCTTCGTCATTCTGGGCGCGAATGGGCTTGCCCTCCTCGTAGACCAAGCGCGAAGAGGCATCTTCGGACTTTTGGCGGGTCTTTTCCTTGACGGTCGATTTAGGCATTGTGGGATAGTCCACCATCTGTTGGTGGGGAAAACCTAGCAAAGTATAGTATAAAAAGTAGGATCGAATTTGTGGGAGTATTTCTCGAGTGGCGAAAGGTACGAGAAGAATGCAATCGACTAGAGACAAATGTACATGAAGCTAGAATTGCAGATGCGACGCCTGCCGCCGAACAATAATTTTCTTTCGCTTGGGCCGGCAGTTGCGGGCGGTGAGCACTGCGGTGGAGCCTGCTTATAGCCTTGGATTTCAGGCACATATGTACGCTAGGCAGGCCTTGCAAGGGAACACCACAATGAATTAATACTGGTTCAGCAGAACAGGATTGCATAAATCTCAAGATAACTCCATCATGGCAAATGGTTCATGTACACGTCCATTCATGCAGCCACAATCAAATAAAGATGCATATAAGTGAGCGCCATGGCTTTACGGACCTTAGATCAAAAACCGTTTAGAAGAATAAATACCAAACGCCGCAAGATAGCATGTGTGTAAGTGGAGAGTCGTTATTGTGTATCTGTTGGTTGGCCGCCCGGCTTGATCGACGGAGATGATCCTCCGAACCCATCGCGATCACTGCCAGACCTGGCCGACACCGTCGCTGACGATGCTGAACTGCATTCGCCATGAGCCGCGGGATTATATTCCACCGAGTCAAATCGTACGAGATCTTCCTTCCCTGGTGTATGGCTGTTCGAGTCCGGCCGCCTTCTACCTTTACCCACTGAGTCATCGTCCGAGAATGAAACATCGTCATCCAGGCCGGCCAGCAGTCCACGATGGTGCTCGTCATCGTGTTCGGCTAGTCGGTCACCGCCAGTCTCCTCTTCAAAAGTGCCCTGTGGCAGAGAGAGCGGTTTCTTGATAAAGGTATCGATGATGTAATACTGAATGGCGTTCATGATAACCGGGAAAAGAAGCATCACGAATATGATTTGGACAGCAGTATTACCCTCTGTCCACCGTAGAGCCCAATCGCCCACCTTGACGATAAAAGGTAGCAGTTGAATGATGAAGAAGACACATATCTTCATCCCTAGTAATCCAAGGAAGTATATCATCGACTGTTTGAACCACCAGGCAGCGCGGGGCGGACGACCGTAATTTCCAGACTCAATAGACTCTGGCGGATTCGCAAGGGGAGTAAACATGGCGAGACGATTCAAGATGTGTAAGATGAAGATCAAGATAGGGATACCCAGAGTGGTCTGCAATCGCCGAGGTATTAGTTGGGTATCTCATTTCAGCGCTGCCTAGGATCAGAATCGGCCACTCACGTCTATTCCTAAGTTCAGAAGATAGAAAGAACATGGGTTGGGCTTGTATTTGCTTTGGATCTCAAACTGGCCGGCCGAGAACATGGACATGAGAAGATTCGCCAGATGCAACATGGCCGAGCCGAAGACTTGCTTGGAAACATCGAATGCCCAGACTTTCACAGGTCGTTGGGGTCTCTCCCTCCATCGCTTGTAGACTAGCGATAAGAGCGCCAGAGCCCCGAGGGCGGCCTGCACCAGCAGCGAAAAAGGGCCAAGGAGCCTGCACTCTCCCTTGTCCTCATCATCCCCTCCGGACTCCGAGGCGGCTGGGTAAGAGGCGGACTGTTGTATGGTAGCAGACAGGGAGGGTGCAGGAGAAGCGCTTGGGGCTGTAAGATCTCCGATCGACGATGCCCCAACACCGCTACCGAGTACTGCGATAAAAGTCGCTGCGGCGATGATGACAGTGGGCGATATACGGGCCATGGCGCCCGTCACGATCGAAGCTTCCTACCTGTCAAGGATTGCAAATAGCAGCGATAGAAGAGACGGGGGGGAATTTTGAGAAGACTCGGAAGATGAACTTGGAGCGGCGTGGCGATAGAAGTAGAGAACGGAGCAGTTTCACTAGTGATGCAAGATGGCGGCGGGTTGCCTATCTTGCGAGGGCCGGGCGCGTCACGGGCATTGGGGGGGGGGGGGGAGATATATGATATAAAAATCGAATATTGATCGTCTAATAGGCTAGCGAAGATAAGATCCACATCGAATAGGCTGTTCAACAATATTCCGATTTTTCTGTATTCTTCTTCGTTTTCTTGCTTGTCTACTTGTGATTCAGGTGGAGGTTGATGTTGGTGGGGGGAAGAGTTCAAACGTCCGGGTGTTCGAGAGTGACACCGCTTCGAGGGCGGTCGGTGGAAGTGGAAGTGGTGGTGCGCGTGTGACGTGATGGACTTAGTTAGTACTAGTAGTAAAGTAACTTAGGTAGTAAAACCCTTGCTTCTACGGGACTAGTCAATGAACCCTTTTCCAAGTCCTCCAGTCTGCCCCGCCCGTCCCCCCGGGAATTGGAAACAAACAGAGCTGACTAATCATAAGCTACATCATGTGATTGGTTGTATTCAGAACAGTACCGACCATTGTCCTGAAAAACAAGTGCAGTGCAGATCATTAGGCACTTTCTTTAATAATTTGGTTAGCTAGCAAAGTGTTTTGTCATATGAACGAAGAATTCGTTTTGTTCAGTAGAGTACATACGTATGTACTGTATGTACTGTACTACTATGCCCATCTAGCTTTATTGTATACCCGTAGGAGCTTGGATTGCTGTAAGGTCTACCGGTTGGCAGTAACGCGCCAAAGTTAAAGTTGTAATACACATGTATATAATGAAGTCTCGTTGGAGTTATACAACAGTAATAGAACAAACCTTTAACCGTGGTGCTCGTTCCAGCTCATTATCATGGCGAGGGTTCTCATGGAAAGGGTTCAAGATGGCCTGAAATGATCGTCTTGTTCAAGAACTAGGGAAAAGATAAAAGGCATCCAGGAGTATGTGGGGGTAGATGCAAATATGTAAGCAAGAAGTAATTAATTTGTAACGAGGCTGTTTCATTGATGACTCTCGTCTCATTTGACCAAGCAGCAAGTCAGTCAGTCGGGTCCAACCACCGCTCACAGCAAGCCAATAACGGCAACAAAAGCGGCAGCAAAGGCACCACCCAGAGTCATGGCTTGGTGGCCAGCTGCGCCATTAGGAGTGCTGGAGGCACTCGATCCCGAGGAGGTCTTGGAAGAAGATGATGTCTCGGTCGCAGCACTGCCAGTGGCAGTGGTGGTAGAATCGCTCTTGTTCTCTGCGCTAGAAGAGCCAGAAGAACCACTAGAGGTCCCAGTTGCCTTAGCAGCAGAGGAAGACAACTTGTCGGCGCCCGCAGTGACCGTTACGGGCGAGTACTTCATCAGGCGAGCAGGAAGAGAGGCTTCCATGGCAGTTGAGTAAGAAGTGGTTTCGCCGCTGTAGGCGACAGTGTAATCCATGGAAATGGAGCAGGAGGCACCCTGAGTCACAGAGGTAATATCGCAGTCTTCAACAAGGGTAACCGTATATTCTGCATCGTCGGTAGTGGAAGTTATAACAGCGCTCACAGTGAACGTGGAAGGGCCCTCAGTTATGGTAACTGGGCTGTGCAGGGCACAATTCGATGCAGCGGCCGAAGGGCCGCAGACGATAGCAACAGTGGTGGTATCCCCAGTGACACCGATGATGCTCGCTTCCACATCACTGTAGGGGACTGTCTCCTCACCAGGCTGGAAGAGGTTGATGGTAGTAGTACTGGCGGCAGCAGACAGAGTTGCCAGGCCAAGGGTGGCAACAGTGGTCAAGAAAGTCGTGGTGCGCATTTTGGCGGTAGATAGAGAATGAATGGATGGACTTTGGGCAGCGTCCTCTTTCGTGGACAAAGATTATTAAGTTATAGAGAGAAGGAATATAAGAAAAGAGCGGACAGAGATTTACTGCACAAGGAGGAGGGGAAGAAGAAGAAGAAGAAAAAGAAGAAGGGTAAAGGGTCCAGGGACGGAAAGGCCAGGCATTATAGGTATTATAGTAGGTACTCATCCTCATAAGAATTGTCGAGTCTGTCTGTTGGTATGGTTTAGTCCAGCCTCCACTGGGAGAATCCTTCAGAATCGGAACGCCCAATTGATTGATGAAAGAGTCAGGTACCGCTCGCTCAGTGCTCCAGAGCAAATGATAGGCGAAGGCAAACATGCACTTCTGCGGCTCAGTCTAACTCGCGCGGACCCTTTCCTTCGTGTTGACCCAAGATAGACTTGTTCAAGGTCCACTTTAACGATGGCGTCGCCTGCAGGTCCCATTTGCCTGTTTCATCAAGACTTCCCAGTCGTGCCGTGAAACAGTGGGTTGATTCATTCAGTGAAAGCATCGAAGCGTGCAATCTGGAATGACGGTGTTGCTTTCTGCTAGACACAGCTCATACCACCCCTCTCACCCCCTTTTTTCATTGCTGGCAGCTCGTATTATGTCCAAGTGGGAGTTAGCCTTAGGTGGCTTGCAGGATGGTTAGGTTCATTTTACAGACGGGAAGTATAGGGATGTATCATGTAACTTAACGGGCCATTTGAGTTGAGTTCAAGGTTCCTTTTTCAGACTAGGCTAGACTAATCTATCTTAATAGGACTAGTCTATGGATGCAGTCCAGAGCATGCGGGCGCCTCGCCAGTTCAGCATCGCCACCACCTTCCGACCGGCGCTGCGCTAAAGCGTGTCTGGAAGAAACATATCCAATGAACATCATCGGTTGGAATTAGCTGGACTCCATTTTTGTCTTCTTCAGTGCTCCTCAAATCCCACAAACCTTGTGGTGATCTGGGGTTTTGGTTGCCAAGCGAAGTCTCGAACGAACTCGGGTAGTTAGTGGTTTCAACTACCAGACACGGTGCAAATTTAGGGCAATGGTACAGTACAGATTATGTCAGCAGCCTGTTGTCCTGGGCCACGTGAGATAACCGTCAGCGTTATCTCCTTGACCGCCCAAGGCTGCAGTCACTGTACCATCGGGCGCATTCTCACCGCCCGGCAGAGAAATGCGACGGGAAGGGAACGAAAAAAAAAAAGTGCAGCCCGCTTTCCCCTCCGACTTCCTTTCCTCGCCATCATCATTCAGTCTATTTTCTATTCAATTGGGACGAGCAATTGAAAAGAACCGTCATCATGGCCGACCAGGAGATCCCCCATGCTACCTTTGACACCATCCTCACCCTGGACTTTGGTTCTCAATACGTTAGTCTCTTTCCCGCTTCCTCTCCTTTGAAGTGTCGGTCGGAATAGTTCAATGTACCCCGCCTATCGCAACCTGAGTCACTGACACCTTTTCTATCACCCAGACTCATCTCCTGACTCGGAGACTGAGAGAGATCAATGTCTACAGTGAAATGCTTCCTTGCACTCAGAAGCTAGCAGATCTCCCTTTCAAGCCCAAGGGTATCATTCTCTCCGGTGGTCCCTACAGTGTCTATGAGGAGGGTGGTAAGTAAATCAAGAAAGCTCGATTCTCCCTGCCGGATTGACTCATTCCACCCGGTCATCTCATACAGCCCCCCACGTCGATCCCGCCTTCTTCGACCTTGGAGTCCCGATTCTCGGTATCTGCTACGGTCTGCAAGAAATTGCCTACCGATTGGACAAGAGCAACGTCATCGCTGGCACCGAGCGCGAGTATGGTCATGCCGACCTGAACGCTAAGCGCCTCGACTCCCAGGGTCACGTCGACAAGCTGTTCGCCGGTATTGAGGATGACATGCTGGTCTGGATGAGCCACGGTGATAAGCTCGCCAAGCTGCCCGAGGGCTTCCACACCATTGCCACCTCGGCCAACTCCCCGTACGCTGGTATTGCCCACGAGTCCAAGCACATTTACGGTGTCCAGTTCCACCCCGAGGTCACCCACACCCCTAAAGGTACGCCGAAATATGATTAGGTCGTGTGACTCGTTGCGACTGCTAGGTATTGACTGGCTTAGGCACAACCCTCCTCAAGAACTTTGCCGTCGACATTTGCGGCGCTCAACAGAACTGGACCATGTCCCGCTTCGTCGACCAGGAAATCTCCCGCATCCGCAACTTGGTCGGCGAGACCGATCATGTGCTGGGTGCTGTGAGTGGTGGTGTTGATTCCACCGTGTAAGTGCTGGACCCAAGTTTCTTGCTAGCCCGCGAGTGCTAAAACCCGTCACCAGGGCTGCCAAGCTGATGAAGGAGGCTATTGGCGACCGTTTCCACGCCGTTCTTGTCAACAACGGATGCATGCGTCTGAACGAATGCGATATTGTCTCCGAGACCCTGAACAAGCACCTGGGCATCAACTTGACGGTTGTTGACGCTTCCAAGCGTTTCTTGGACGGACTCAAGGGTGTCACTGACCCCGAGAAGAAGCGCAAGTTTATTGGCGGCACATTCATTGACGTCTTCGAGGAGGAGGCCCAGAAGATCGAGGCCGAGGCCGAGCATGCTGGTGCCAAGATTAAGTGGTTCTTGCAGGGTACCCTGTACCCTGATGTCATCGAGAGTATCTCGTTCAAGGGCCCTTCTGCCACCATCAAGACCCACCACAATGTTGGCGGTCTGCCCCGTACGTTAACTTACTTAGCTTTCCTCCTATCCGGGAAGGTCGCAACGCTAATTATATGCAGAGCGCATGATTGATGGCCAGGGCATGAAGCTTATCGAGCCTCTTCGCGAACTTTTTAAGGACGAGGTGCGCGCCCTGGGCCGCCAGCTGGGTATCGCCCACGAGCTGGTTATGCGCCACCCCTTCCCCGGACCCGGTATTGCCATCCGTGTCCTGGGTGAGGTAACCCCCGAGCGCGTTGAGATTGCCCGCCGTGCCGACCACATTTTCATTTCCATGATCCGCGAGGCTGGTCTGTATGACAAGATCGCTCAGGCCTATGCCGCGCTGGATCCCAGCAAGGCTGTTGGTGTCATGGTAAGGATTGGAACCCCAACTCAATTGCTATGGTATCTGATCTTAATACTAATACCAACTTTAACAGGGCGACAAGCGCGTCTATGCTGAGATCATCATCCTGCGTGCTGTTGAGACTACTGATTGTAAGTAGCTCTGTTTGTTTGAGATACAACTCACCTCGACTAACTATCTACCAGTCATGACTGCCCGTGCCTTCCCCTTCGACAACGAGTTCCTGGCCCGCTGCTCGACCCGCATCATCAACGAGGTCCACGGTGGTAAGTCTTGAGTTCGGACCTTGCTCCACAAGAGAGATTACTGATTGTGATTTGTAGTGTCCCGTGTTTTGTACGACATTTCTAGCAAGCCCCCTGCCACCATTGAGATGGAGTAAATAGCGAGTGTATTACGAGATTTTTTCCACATACTACCCTTTATATTAGAGGTACGGAGTTAATGGTATAACAAAAGCGTTCAATTCAATCAAGTGCCCGTGATCCCATTGTCCCTTCGACAGTATCTACAGTATATTGTCCTGCAGTTTTTACTGTTGACTTTGACTGTAAATGCTGTGTAAGCAGCTTGCCAGTTGGTGATATTCCTCACCGCCCGCCCACTTCCCCCGCATCGCACCGGCTTCTTATCGCCGCTTTCCCGCTTCGTAATCTTTCGGTCTCTTTCCTTGAGATCCCAACAACAGCAACTTGTCCCTTCCAGGCCCCCTTTGTTTCCTCCGCACTCTTTCTCTCGTGCCAGCAGACCGACCATGCGACCGGATGGCCCTCGTGATCCTGTAACCGGGCCTGATGGAGGCCCGGAGTCTCCCTATCCCATCCGCCTGGCCGGCCCGGTGATCAAGGGCTTTGGGCGGGGCAGCAAAGAGGTGATTGACTGAGTGTCCGCCGGCAACAACGTGTAGTGTGAGACTGACCATGCGTTCATCTTGCAGTTGGGTATTCCCACCGCCAATATTCCGGCCGAGGGCCTCGCTGCATATCCGGACCTGCAGGTGGGCGTCTACTACGGAGTAGTGGCCTTGGATCCGGCCCGATTCGCTTTCGAGGATGCCTCGTCGCCGATCCGACCGGCCGTGTTGAGCATCGGGTACAATCCCTTCTACAAGAACCAGACACGGTCGATCGTAAGGCATCCCTTCCTTTCGGGCTCGATTTTTCAGTTATTGACCTCCCCGCGATGCTAGGAAATTCATATCATGCCATCTCTCTCGGCGCCGTCACCCACCGCGGACGGCGGTCCCACGAAATTTCACAAGCTCCCGGATTTCTATGGCACAGACCTGCGCCTCTTGATCTTGGGATACATCCGACCAGAGTACGATTATGTATCACTTGAGGCATTGGTGGAGGATATTCGCCTGGACTGTGAGGTGGCGCGCCGAAGTCTGCAGCGGCCAGCATATGCGTGTTATCTGGCCGGGGAAGAATGCGCGGAGGACGTAAGGGAGGCGCGCCAGTGGCTGACCCGGTTCGAATCACAATAACGGGCATGCGTCATAATTCCTGGTCTAAGCCGAAGGGTTGAGGTGCGTTTGTACACACATGTGCTAATTCACATTGACCATGTGCATTTGGGTTTAGAGAGAGAGAGACACCCGGAACGGAACGGCTATTGATCGCCGTCCCACTGATCGACGATGAGCGATATATAGATATCCACACAACATGCAGATACACCTACATATACAATTGCAATTTACACCATACAATCTAATATACATTCCATCCTGCTGGCTAGTCTGATTAATCACCCTCTGTGGTTTTTCCAAGAGGCCAAGGGAAACTCCGGCTGGTTCCACGTCGACCCAAGAAACTGGGCAACACTCGTCGACGTCAGCCCAGCATGCCACACGCCTGCCTGGTCTTGAGGCAGTCGGATTTCTTTTATCTATATCTGAACAGCTTTTCTCAGTGCCGCTCTTGATTCTCTGACTCAATTGTACATAATTTTTTGCCGTCTGATTCCCACTCTCACTCCACCCTAATCAATATTGCCCTCCCCCATGGAACGCCTGCGCCAGCATCTTCGACGACGTCGAAGTAGTTCTTCTGGCACAATCCCGCTCCAATCACCCCCCGGTGTTGACCGACGTCGCAAAGATACAGACACTGGTGCGCCCCGGCGGCTGTATCTGACCTCCGATACTACCGAATTCGACGCCGGCATCCTAGCCCGGCTCCGTGCAGAGGGTTTCGATGTTGAATATTTGCCCTTCCCTGGAAGACATCACACAGACCGCGAGCGAGATCGAAAAGACCTCGAGTATCTCCTACATGAACGGGAGGATGATCTAGAGCCTGGGGAACGATATGCCGTGGTCGGTCAGACACCCTCTTTTCTTTTTTGACTAGTATATCCCAGAGATCCGTTGGGTGGGTGTCTGTGTCTTGTACATTTGTAGCTAAACAATCCCTCATTAGCCTACAACAAGCCGGCCTCACTGCTTCTCGAGTCTCACCATCAACCAGCAACATCCACCAACCCCTTCCCCCGACTTTGCGCTCTGGTAGCCTACTACCCCCATGACTTCGACAACTGCCTCGACCACCTGTCCATCAACACAAATGGCAGTCCCATCAGTAAAGTCCCTACCGCTCCTGCAAATGCCAACACGACGACCTCTTCCTCCACTGCGCCGACGACCTACCCTCCATCGGTAACCCTTCTTCCCATCCAGATCCATCTCGCCGGAGACCGCTGCTCAGCCGGCTTCGAATCCTCCGCACCCACCCATACCCGCAAGCGTCACCGCTGCCACTCCTTCTTCTACCCGGAGTCCCACGCCGGGTTTGCGGAGCCCTCCTCGCCGAACTACGACGGCATCGCCGCGCGATTAGCCTGGTCGCGAGCTCTCGAGACCCTGAAACGCGGATTCGGCTGGCACGGCGCGGGATGGAAGGTCCCGGACGTGGAGAGCGTCTGGGAGGAATATTGGCGGTGTCTGGCGGCGACGTCGGAGTCTGGCACCGGGGCCGGCGAGCAACAAAACTCGTCTCTTGCGGTGGCAGATGAGCGAGAACGCCTGGCAGCCCACATCGTCGCGTTGATGGTAGGGAGCAGTAGTGGAGTGCAGTTGAACGCACCGGGCCCCAATGATGACGACCATACCTCTCTGGGGACTCCATTGGTGAATTGTGTGCCGACTATGATGGGAGGTGAGTCCAAACAATATTTCACATACCTCCCCCCCTCTCCCGCTCCCTGTTTCCTAGAGAGACAGCAACAAGAAGGCAGTATAGTTAATTAACGGTTGTACCTGATATGATTCAGGCACCACCCCCAAATCCCTGACCCATTTTTTCACCTCCCAGTTCCTGCCGACGGGACCCCCTGATCAGCGGATTCGCCTCCTCTCACGCACGACCGGCGCGGATCGCATCGTCGATGAGCTGCATTTTTCGTTCACCCACAGCGAAGAAATCCCGTGGTTATTACCCTCGGTCCCGCCGACGGGTCGGCCCGTGCGCATCGCCCTCGTCATGACGGCGAGTTTCTGCGCGGGGAAAGTCGCTCGTCTCAATGTTTATTGGGATCAGGCGAGTGTCTTGGTGCAGATTGGCTTGTTGGATCCAGCGGTCGTGCCGGCGGGGTTCACCCCCACGGGGCTGAATCGCGCAGGCACGAAAGTCGTCGAGCGGTTGCCGGTGGTCGGGGCAGAAGGGGTGGAGAGGATTACTGTCTGAATTGGTATTGAGCTGGATGGTTTTTGCTATTATGTATGTCTTTATGGGACGGCATAGCGTGGGACTTGATCATCTTCTAGCTGTAGACTTTACTCATGATAGAGAATCGTTTGATGAGCATGATGGCTGTGATTTGTTCCAATAGCAAGGTCAAATATGCATTCATGAGGTCAAAATGGGACTTGATCTCAATGAAAGTCTCGAGATCATGGAAAATTGAGCTTGCGGATTTCCGGACTCACGCCTCCAGGGGACTGAAGCGTCAGAACACTGGCTTCCTGCGCCAAAGACAGTACATCTTCTACCCCATGGCCGCGGGCCAAACCCGTTACTACCGCCCCCAACAGAGTATCCCCAGCCCCATTGACACTGACAATATCTTCCTCCGCAAGTACCGCTGCTGGGGGGAACAGACGCATGTATACTCCTCCGATCACTGCATGGTCGGTGGGCGCTCGGGACAGGATATATGGGGCAGTGTCCGGACTGGTCAGACGCGCGTCTCCCGGACGGAGAAGCTGTGTAAGAAGGACGCCTTGCCTACCTAGCTTGGTGACAATACACGGCATAAAGGGAAGAAGCTGGATGCTTTGCTGCGGAATGCCTTGGTCCACGAGCTCGGCCGAGGTCATGGCTACCAATCGGTCCCGCGACCCAGACGCAGACATCCCCATGGCATCAATAACATGCCACCAGCCTTCAGACTCGTAAAGACCACTATCCCGCGCAGCCGTGTACATCTCTGTGAGCTCCATCTGGTTGGGTGCCGCGAGACTGACAGTATTATTGGGAACACAGTCGGAGGGCGTAATGGCGGCGGAGCGCCGGCCGAACAACCGGCGGCTCTTGGCGGTCGAGACGGGTTCGAAGGCTGTTCGAGCCCCATGCTTCTTTGCAACTGTCATCCACTTCGCAAGCACTTCCGGGCTCCAATTGGCGTCTACAACCACCCACTGTGGTTGAGCTTGCGAAATTAATGGCTCCCAGAATCCGTCGAAATCTAGGCTTTGCGCGGGCGATTCCATAATGCCCATGTCAGCCATAGCGACAACGAGATCCTTCTTTGCATCGTTGATGGCCACATACTGCGCAGTACGCGCTCCTGATGATGCAGGAAGAACACGAATGCCGGCTGTGGACAACTTCTCATCGCGAAGGGAAGCCAGCGCGGTGCGGCCACTCAGATCGTCTCCGACTGTACTGCAGAAGAGAACAGAGCTGTTGAGATATTTCGTCGCGACAGCCACATTGTGGCCAACACCTCCAAGGCTTTGTCCGATGACTGCGCGATTCGATGTCTCCAATACGGGAGAAGTTGTTGTTTCGGTAGGACTGAAGTCACAGGACAAATCAATTGCCAGCGAGCCTGCCACAACAATGTCCGCCTTGGCAACACGCTTTGTCAACTGTTCAGTGGTCGAATTGAGGTCCAGCTCTGCTTCTGCAGTTGCTCGGTCAGCCCCAGTGGTCTCGGAGATAGCTGGCATGTGTCTGCGCCGACCATCTCGACATTAGGGTGTCTCTATCCTGATAAAAAAACATGGGTACTCACCGTTCGTTCAACGGCCCGCTAGATCGCTCAAGTTTCGAGAGTTCCAGAGCTACCTTGGCTGCACGCTCCACATTGGCCTCGACAAGGGCTCGGTTGGCTATGACACTCTTCCCACCACTGAGGTCCTTGATCTTTGCCAGCACGAATGGCGTATTGTCACTTCCCTGATGCCCCTCGACTTCTGCAAAACGAATGGCCTCTTCGATGATGCCATCCATCTCACTCCTTGCGATGGAATGCTCGAGGGGAACAGGGTTGGCAAGGAGAATACCGGATGAGACGGGAATTTGTGTTTGTGCGTCTGTGATATAATTAGCGGCCTCATCGCACAGTGTTGACAGACGCCGATTGCCTAGAATGCAGAGATACCGCCGAGCTGTGCGACTTACAGATAATTGCGGCCGCTTCAGCCTCATTATGGATGATCTTCGGACTCTTAAGGCCACTATCGCGAGTATAGAAGGCGGGAAAATCCACGGCCCCTTGACGGCCATCTGCAAAGGTCCCCACGCAGACTCCCTCTGTCTCGAGATATTCCAAGGTACGCGGGATATCCAGGAAGCTCTTACACCCAGAGCTGACGACCGCCACTGGCGTTCGTCCCAGCTCAGTGAGATCAGCTATATCAACATTAGCGGGGAAGAAAATTGCAAGGATGATTCTACGCACCAGAGATGTCCATCGAATTTTCTCCACCGCGATGTACGCCTCCTATGACAAGTCAGCATGTTTGATAATTGTCCTAGCTTGGAAGTACGGACCTAAGCCTCCCGTTCCGAAGACCTTGATTCCAGCCAGATGAGCCAGTACCATCGTGCCCGACACTGTTGTACCCCCGTGTAGTCTTTTGCCAGCTAGTCCCTGATAAAAGTTAGATCAGCGATCTCAAGCCAGCTACAGGTTTTTTGCCTTACTAGACCACAAATGTATCCCAGGTCCCTCCGAGATACTTTCAATGCGTTCTTCTTGTCCGCAGAAGATGCTAACTCGATGAGCTCTTCTGCATTGAGGCCAACCCGGGCTTCGCCATGGAGAACTCCGATGGTGGCAGGAACGCCGCCATTGGCACGGACTACAGATTCCAAGAGCGTTGCCAATGCGACACTTTCCGGATAGGGGAAGCCTGCTCTTGTCAGCAATGCCTCGGCCGATCTACTATGCGACACCTGATGGGAGCTATACCGTGTGTATAGATAGTTGATTCAAGGGCCACCACAGGTCTTCCTGTGGCCACGGCATCGCGAACCTCCTCCGATACCTTGAAGAATTTACTATTGGCAAGGCCATGGTATCGTCGAGGTAGACCTGCGGTTCTCATCGTCCGCCCGCATGTGCGAGCGGCCACTCGAGAGGCGAGCATTTGACGGCCGTTGCGTTGCACAAGACTTGGTAGACTCTATATCGAATGAAAGATCTCTGAGACAGTTGCGAAAGCTTATATGAGCACCTCAGAGGCGATGAGGACTGGAGGAGCGCGGTGGCGAGGCAAGGCAAAGAAAAGAAACGAGCGAGGACAAGCATAATGTGGTTCTTCTGTTTTGGTGATAAGAAGGCGGAGAAGGAGTGGAGAAGACCGGCCGGAACTCGTAATCGCCCCGAATCGGGACACCTCAGCATCTCCGCGTCTCTTTCCCGCTCGCCAATTCCTCTGAACTCGCCTCTCTTTCTTCATTTCTGATTATAATATCTGAATCTTCTCCTGGTGAGAGTCATTGTGTTCTAGGCGCGGTCTGCTTCACGGCCGCCCATCATCACAATGAGGCCCCTTTCCGCCCTCACCGCGCTGTGCGGGTTGTTTCTATCAACCAGCAGCTTCGTATGCGCCGATTCCACATCGTCAAGCTCGCCAGTCGCTCTTCCCAGCGACTTCAAGCCCGCTCAAGTATTCAAGAATATCAACTTGGTCCGGAACACCAATCTGGAGAAAAGCTACCTCCGTGAGACTATCAATGTCGTGGTCGAGAATGTGGCCAAGCAAGCTCAGAGTGACTATTACTTGGCTTTGCCATCCGACCTCTACGATAAGGTCGGAGTCCTCGAAGTCCGCGATAAATCAGCTCCGGAGAAGGGCAGGCTCAATGTGCAAGCTACTGAAATTGACCCAAGCAGGTGAGTTGGTCATTCTAGTTGCCAATGGCTCGTTGGCTGTTGGTGATGCCGGTGACGATGCCACGGTTGCTTGATCCGCAAACACTCCTCCAGACTCATTGGGCGAACTAAAGACTGATGTATGCTATACTCGACGTACAGGGATCTCCAATACTATATCGTTCACTTCTCTGAACCCCTGGCGCCCTCCTCTCAGATCATTCTGGGAATCTCTTACTCTGTCCTCAACTCTTTCAGCCCGCGCCCTGCCGCTATCAAACAGATGGACCGACAGTACCTCACTTATTCGTTCTCTGCCTATGCTCCTTCAGCATATACGACAGTGACGCAGAAGACCAAGCTCAAGCTTCCCAGCACTAATGTCCCGGAATATACGACCACGGACTTGAAGTCGGGTGCGGACCCGGAGCGTCTGGGTACCAGCTACACATACGGACCCTATGACACGGCTCAGGTTGCGCCCGGTACTAGCTACCCGATCGTCGTTCGCTATGAGTTCACCAAGCCGGTCATCACGGCTTCGCTGCTGGAGCGCGACCTGGAGGTTTCTCACTGGGGCGGCAACTTGGCCACGGAGGAGCGCTACTGGCTGCGCAACAATGGCTCTGAACTCTTAGACCACTTCTCCCGCGTGGAGTGGACCCTCAGCAGCTATCAGCAACTCCCCTCTTCCTCCATCCGCGAGCTGAAGTACCCCCTGAAGCCCGGCTCTGTGGACCCTTATTTTATCGATGATATCGGCAATGTTTCTACCAGCCGCTACCGTCCTGGGACGGTTCCCAGTCGGGACGCATCATTGGAGCTTCGCCCCCGGTTCCCCATTTTTGGTGGCTGGAACTATAGTTTCCGCGTCGGCTGGAACAACGATCTCTCCACGTTCCTTCGTCGGGCCGTCGGCAGCTCTGACTCTTACGTGCTCAAGGTTCCCTTCATCGAAGGACCCAAGGCCTCCGAGGGCGTCCAGTATGAGAAGGTCGTTGTGCGAGTGATCCTTCCCGAAGGTGCCCGGAACGTTCGCTGGGAGATGCTGGACAAGGCTTCCAGCAATGGACTCCCTAGCTCCAGCCAGATCCAGGCCGAAGTGTCTGAGCATAGGACGTTCATGGACACTCTGGGGCGGACGGCATTGAGCCTAACCGTCGTTGGACTGACGGATGAAGCTCGTGACTCTCAGATTGTGGTAAGTTCCTTGACAATCATATAAACCTGACTCGAGTTGAAAGCACACTGACAATTGGACTAGGTGACCTACGATTATTCCTTGTGGGATGGACTGCGCAAGCCGGTGACTATCACTGCTGGCCTCTTCACAGTATTTGTAGCCGCGTGGGCTGTGGGC